CGCTCGGGCTGCTTGGACAGGCTGGTGCGCAGCGACGCCAATACCTCCAGCAGCGCCGAAGCAGCCGCCTGCGGGTCTGCAACCGCAACATCCTCATGGCCAGCGTCCGGCACCTGCTGCTGCTGCTGCTCGCTCTGCACCGTCTTATCCGCCTTCTTGCCGCCCTTCTTGGAAACACCCAGCTGCGCCCGGACCACGGCGCGTGCCTCAACCTCCGCCGCCGCCAGAACCTCATCCAGGGCCGCCTTCGCATCTGCAAGACGCGACTGGCGCCACTGAGATAGGTCCGCATCTGACATAGACGCCGCCACCGGCCCGTTAAGCGCCTGCATTGACGCCAACAGCCGCCGCAGCGCCGTCAGCCCCTTCTCACGGCTGCGAGCATGCGCCACGTCGATCGTGGACGGACAGCAAACTGCCGCCAGCATGGTCGCCGCCTGCGTCCCGTCCAGCAGCCCAAGCTGGCATCCCAGCCACACCAGCAGCGCACGCAGCTCACCCAGCACCAGCTCCTGCGAGGGGCTGGCGGAGCCCGAGTCCACCACGGCCTGCACCTTGCCCGCGTAGAAGAAGGCGGGCAGCAGCAGTGGCCGCAGCGGTCGGGCGGAGGCGGAGGAGGTCGAGGCGGCGCCGGTGGTGAAGGAGCCGCCGGAGGAGCTTCCGCCGCTGACGGATGGCGCATCGGGCTTGGAGGTGGCTGCGACCATTGCGGTGGCTGCGGCAGGCAAGCGCGTGAAGAGCAAGTTGGACTTCTCCCGGTCGCTAATGAGGTCGCAGGCTCGCAGGTCCTCTACCACCGCGTCCCAGGCCGCAGCGAATGCCATCCACTGTGCCAGCTGCTCATCGCCCTGACCCGATAGCATGGCGACCAGCTCAGCGGCTGCCGCGGCGTCACGGGCACGAGAACCCCGCAGCTTGCCCTTGCTCTTGCTGCTGCCCGTGGAAGCGGAGGAGACGGAGGAAGAATCGCCATCGCCGCTGGAGTTCGCTGCCGCAGAGGGAGCATGTGGGCCCAACGCCGCCACCCGCCGTGCTCGCGGCTTCGGCGAGTCGCTGGCGCTACCAGCGGAGCTGCTTGCTAGGCTGGAAAGGCTGCAGGTGGAGGAGCGCATGCCCGCATTGAGCCCGGCATAGACACTGCCGTACTCCTCATCCTCCTCGTCGTCGGAGCAGGCCCCACCGGCGCCGCAGGTGATGCCAACACCTGCATCACGTTTTACGCGGTGTGCCGCAGCTGCTGCCCTAGCTGCTTCGTTGGCTGCGGGGCTCATGCAGCGCGCCCACCACCTGAGCGGTGCACGGTGGAACTCCGCCCGCAGCGCCTCCCACGAGCCCGCCACGCCCAAGTTGAGGGACACGAGTCCGTGGACGACGCCCCACACCATAAGCACCATCTGATAGAAGATCTGCGTGTCCACCAGGCTGACCAGCACGAAGGGCGCCACACGCAGCATCACCAAAAGGAAATCGCCGTCCAGGCAACGGAGCGGCAGCTCCGCACCGAACAGCCGGTAGTGGCCCGAGCAGCCCAGCCAGTTGCGATGCAGGATCAGGCGCACCTGCCCAGCCATGGGCTTCATGATAACGAAGTAGTCGAAGGCAAGCTTGGCCCCCAGCACCTGCATCCAGAACAGCGTCGTCAGCAGAGCGGCGCGCCACCCCACCGCCATGGGCTGCTCCAGCCAGCAGCCAGCCGTGGGGCGCTGCGAGGAGGCGCGGCAGAACGCCGGCAGCCGCAGCGCACTGCTGAGCGACACGCAGTAGCCGTCACGCGTGGTGAGCAGCCCATGCACTGCTACCATCGCCACATAGCCTCCGGCTGCTAGAGGCCAGAACTTGTGGGCCAGGGGCTGCAGCGACGCTGGACCCACATGCTGCAGCGCAAACAGCGCCAGCATGGCCACGGCCACCACCACCCACTCCAGCCAGCCGAACACGCTGTGCACGGGAGAGCCCTCCACCGCCACACGCCGACGACGCTCCATGCGCTCTTCCACTGCGCCGCCGTCAGACAGGCGGCTGCGCCGTGGGGCCGCAGGCGCGACGGCGGCGGCCTCGGGCTTGCCGGCCTCCGCATCCCCCTCATCCGCCTTGCTTGCGGGCGCCGGCTCCCTAACCCAGCTGTCCCGGGCCTTGGCCGCCTGCAGCGTGTCGCGTGTTCCCCGGTTGAGCCACCAGTTGGCGGTGCGCTCAACCGCCGCCACCACCGCGTGCGTCAGTACGGCGCTGGACAGCCCGCGCAGCGAGCCTGGAGCGAAGGCGTATGCCATGGTTGCGTGCAGCAGCACCAGCTGCAGACTGTACACGCGGTAGAAGGCGCGGAGGAGCGCCAGCCAGCTGCGGCGCTCGCGGTGCGTCTTCACGAACACGTGATCGGCCCAGAATGCGGCGGCGTACACGGGGTCAGACAGCCGCGGGTTGACCGCGGAGGCGCTGGAGGTGGCAGGGACGCCGCGTCCGGCAGGTGCTCCATCGCCGTCAGTGGCCACTGCAGGCGCATAGCCCAGGCGAGTAATGGCGTCCAGGGCCCCATGCGCTTGGCCTGCGTCCGCTGCCGCTGCGACGCCCAGCATCTCCAGCAGGCGCCGTACGATGTCACGTCGGCACATGGACTCATTGATGTCGTCGTAGCCCAGGCGGTGCGCCACCTCTTGCCCTTCCGAGGCCATGTGGTCCACCTCGAACGCCAGCACAGTGAACAGCGGCGCCACCACCAGGTCCGTCCAGCAGCAGCCGTCGCCGTGGCAGCACAGGTCGCAGAACAGGGCGCGACTGACGGGGCAGGCGAGCGAAGAGTCGGGGGCAGGGGAGGCGGAGGTTGCGGAGTAGGAGGTGGTGGGGAGGCCGAGGGAGAGGATGAGCGAGGGCAGCTGGGCGGCAAGGCTGGCGGCGACCTCGGTGTTGTGCTCGGGGCGGCAGGCGGTGGGGTCGTGGCCCAGATGCTGCTGTACGGCGCAAAGATGAGACTGCGAAACGGGGAGGAGAACAGACAGGTTGGAGTCAGGGGTCGAGGCTCGGGTTAATGCTGGCAGGCGTTCACTGCCAAGAAAGCGAAGTTTAAATGGCCCCTTCCCCCAGGTTCTTCTTCCGCAGCCCACCTGCAAAGTGTTTCGCATGGCCAGACGCCGCTCCCGCGCATTGTTCATCCGCTGCTCCGGCTGCAGCCCCTCCCGCACCAGCCGCTCCATGGCCGGGCTGTTGTTAGCGGCCCAGAACAGGAACCACGTCAGCTCGGGCGTGTGGCGCAGGTTGGCGGCCTCGCTGTAGATCAGGAAGTACAGCGCCAGCTCGCTCAGCAGCAGGTGCAGCACGCGCGGATCCGCACCGCCCTGAGCGCCCAACAGCTCAGAAGCAACAGCAGCGGGCCGGGCAGCCAGCCCAACCTGCCGGCACCAGCCCGCCGAGCCCTCATACGGCAAGAAAATCTGCGAGTGTAGCTCCCACACGGCTCGCGCGAACGCCGCCTCTTGACGCTGCTGCAGCTGGGATTCAGTGGCGTCCCCTTTCATATCCTGCCCTCCCTTGCAGCCCTCACCCTCACTGCTAACGGCGTTGCTGTTTCCGCTGCTCGGTGCTGTGTCCCCTCCACCTCCGTCAGCCTCCATGAGTATGCGGGGCATGAAGTTACGCACCAGCAGCGCCTCTAGGTGATCGCCGGCAAGCAGGGCTGTGGCGGGAACCCATTGGGCCGCACAGGAAGGCTGCTGGCAGGGGCCGGAGGCCGGGACGCGGGAGTTGAAGGCCTGGAATCCGAACGTGCGCGCCACCACCCAGCTAGTATTTTGGATGCGGTCGCACAGCGGGCGGCGAGCAAGGGCAGCGGGAGGCTGGGGAAGGGGCTGTGCAAGGATGGTGGAAGCGGGAAGGGCTGCGGCGTAGTGGATGGAGGTGGTGCGGTGTGGATGGGGGGGTTGCGTGAGCCGGGAAGGCTCTGCGCTGCCGGAAACCGGGGTGCTGACACCATGTGATGAAGCCTTGGCTACCGAGGGAGAAGCGGCAGCTGTAGCGGCAATGACTGGGGCAGCAGCAGCTGGGTCGCTATGCGTGCTGCTGGGAGTCGCTGCCGGCTCCTCAGCACTGGCACCTTGCGCCTGCTGTTGCTCTTGGGTGGATGGTGGGCTGTGCTGCTCTTGCTGCGGTGAGCCGTGCAGCATCCGCGGCTGGTGCGAAGACGGCGGTGGCGCCAGGAAAAGCTCCGAGGTGTGCAGCTGACTTGGGGGAGGCGGAGGCGCGAGGAAGGTTTCGAGGATGTGCAGCTCGTGTGCAGGTGGCGGCGGTGGAGCCAGGAAAGTTTCGGAGACGCTGCTGCAGTCAGACCTAGCGGAGGGGCTGTCTGCGGGCGCGGCGGTCGGCGCTGCTACTGCATCTGCCTCGGCGATGACGATTGGGCTTAGCGAAGCCAGAGAGCGCTGCATGTTTTATCGTTGAAGCTCCGGAGCTTGAATGGGCAGACCTGGGATTGAAGGCAGCGACTTGTGACGGGAGTTGCAGATGGAAGGGCATATGAAGCGACGCAACTTGCAAGGCACGACTTGCACAAAATCTATTAGGGTTGCCAGTATAGTGTGACGCTAACGCAACCTTGAGTGTCACCTGCAAGGCTTACCCCTAAACGAAGTCGCCTGGAGTTACAAGTCGTCGTGAATACTCGTCCTGTTATGCTTTAAACCAAGCTGTCGGATGGCAAGCAGTTTAGTATGCCGTAAGTAGCTAGGAAGGCTGTTGCGCAGGTTGAAGCTAAGAGTAACGCTACTCGTGCTGGCTCTAGGAGCTCTTGGTTCTTGTCTAGAGCACGAGGGCTTTGGGTATACGCTATTGGATGCCATTGTGATTACAACTGAGCCGCTTAATACCTCCAAGGCATGTATGGCAGTCGCGTCGACGACTGCCCTCAGGCGACAAGACGAGTGACGCCGTACCAGACAACGTCTTGTCGGTTAACCAACCGGCAACAACTGTTACGTCCTGTCTCATACAACCAACTGGATACCGTAGTATTTTAGGTGCAAAGCGTTCGTGATAAGGGTTTCGCTGTGGTATGCGTGCGATTTGCGTGCGACTTTGGTCTTCAACTTATCGGCAAGAAGCAAGCACACAGGAAGTCTCTCCACTCGTACCGTACACAGAATGCCAGTCGAAACTACATGTGGTGAGTGTGGAGAGTATTCGCCAATTACTTTCAACTCTACTTGAAAGCAGTGTGGTACCGGACTGCGCAGTAAGGGAGGAACTGCTGGCCAAGCTTCCAGATACACGCGCTTTTCTAGATGACCTGGAAGGCCATCGTTCGGGGGGCCCAGCGAAGGAGCTTTTCCGGTAGGATTAGCATGGCATGCAAGCGAGCCTGCCTTTAGCGTTACTTTTGTCTAAAAGTCGGCATACGATGGCGAGTACTATTCAGGTGGAATGAGCCGCTTACGGTAGCGCGCGCTCCAGGCCGACTGGACGTCATGGGTGGCATTGCCGATTACAGCGGCAGCCTCGTCCTGCAGATGCCCATCAGCGAGGCGGCCCACGTCGCTCTACAGCTTCAAGAGCCAGGTCTGTCTTCTAGAAGCTCTGTTCAATAGCAGGGCTTCGAGCATAGAGGAATGGGAGACACACGGAGTGGGAAGGAGAGCTAGAAGCGAGGCAGGATGGGACTGCAATGCTGGCATCAAGCTATACCGAATCACTCTTAGGAAGGCACGTGTCGGCTGTCAACTCCTGCGCACATATCAGTTGCCCATGGGATGTTCTGCCGCCCTTGCATGTCCCACTGCCCTTGCTCCTGCAGGTCCGGACGCCCCAGCAATGCTGACGCTGGTGTCCATCCCCGCCGCGGGTGAGGAGGCGCACCGCGACCCCGTCTTCAGCTGCCCCATGGCGGACCTGTTCCCCGGCGGGCAGCCACTGGAGTATGAGGCCGCACGTGCGTACTTCAAGGTACCTACCGCTGTGGTGGGAGTGCGTGTATGTGTCATGTGTGCAGGGTTGTGCAAGGAAGGGCTGCAGACACGAGGGTTCCCGAGTGCGACCTGCATGATGCGGCCGCACTCCACCCAGACTTCTGGCGCCCGGCTACAAAGCCCACATTCGGTTGCCGTCAATTGACCCCTGCAGCGCCGATCCCAGCCCTCCTTACCCTTCCCCCTCACCTCCTTCCTCCCTCCCCCGCCCCAGGCGTCCCCCTCCACCTCCTGGGCCGCCTACCTCGCGGGCTGCCTGCTGGTGCTCGCGCGCGACGGCCCGGACGCGCCCGCCACCGCCGCCCGCCTGGCCTCCCGCAGCGTCTCCCTGCTGGTGGCGAGCCGCGTGCCGGAGGGCAAGGGCGTGTCCTCCAGCGCCGCGGTGGAGGTGGCGGCCATGACGGCGCTGGCGGGGGCGCTGGGGCTGCAGGGGCTGGGTGGGAGGCAGGGTGGGAGGCAGCTGGCGCTGCTGGCGCAGCGGGTGGAGAACCTGGTGGTGGGGGCGCCGTGCGGCATCATGGATCAGGTGGGTGGGAGGGTGCGGCACGGACGGGGGGGTGCGGACGGATTGCGTGTGGGAGCGGTACTGGCGTGGTGCTTGGGCATGGGAAGGCCGTGGGCTGCGGGTAGGTAGGGACGGCGCTGATGCGGGGAGGCGCGGCATGAGCGCAAGGAGCGTGAGACCTCGGGCTTGGTTGCCCAACCCTCGCTAACCTCACCCCCTTCCTTCCTCCCTCCCTCCCTGGCGCCAGATGGCCTGCACCCTGGGTCAGCAGCACTCCCTGCTGGCGCTGCTGTGTCAGCCGGCGGAGGTGCAGGGCGCGGTGGCGCTGCCGCCGCATGTGGCGGTGTGGGGCGTGGACAGCGGCATCCGCCACAGCGTGGGGGGCTCCGACTACGGCAGCGTGCGCGTGGGGGCCTTCATGGGGCTGCGCATCGCCAGCAGCGGCGGACAACCCTCGGTGGGTGGCGGCGCCGGAGGCAGGGGGGAGGGGATGCGTTGGGTTTAGGCGTTCGCAGCGCCCAGTAGGGGGCGTGAGCCAGTGCAAAGGAGAGTGCTGTCATGCCGGGGTGGTAATTGGGTTAGGTCTTTACTTGGAGAGCGGTACTGTTACTGTCCGCTGGTCATGAGCCACCTTCCATACAGTCGTTACAGTTAAGGTGCATAGCCCAACATGCTGCTCATTGTCAGTTTGCCTCGGTCAGTGTTTCCTCGCGGCTTATTTGAACGACCGGTACCCCCATGCTGTGGTACCTCCCGCAGGACGCCTCCGGCCCTCCCCCCGCCCAGTGGGGCGGCTACCTGGCGCGTCTGAGCCCCAGCCAGCTGGCTCAGCGGCACGCGGGTGTGCTGCCCGCCTCCATGCGCGGGGCGGACTTCCTGCGCCGCTACACCACCCACTACGATGCCGTCACCGCGGTGGACCCGGACAAGGAGTAAGTAGGTGGCACCCGGGGGGGAGGGGGCTCTCTGCCGCTAGGCCAGGGACATGATAACTTGGATGCGGGGATAGTATGGGTGTGGCTTGGTGCTGGCATGGTGCTGTATGTATGCATGCATGCATGCAGGGATTGTTTGTCCCTCAAGCGGTGCACTTGCTGACGGCTGCTGCCTGCCTGCCTCCCGCCCTCCCCACCCGCGCAGGTACGCAGTGCTGCGGCCCGCATCACACCCGGTGCACGAGCACTTCCGAGTCACCACCTTCCAGCAGGCGCTGCTGCTGCCGCCGGGGCCGGAGCAGATGAGGTGGGTGGGGCGAGGGCTACGTGGGTGCTGGGTTGCTTTACCGAGGCCACGTGTGTGTGCTCAGATGCACTTGACGGACGGGCATCTTTCAAGAGGCAGCGTCAATGCTCACTGCTTTGGCCTCTAACCGAGCCTCCTTGCTTCGGCCCTGCTAATACGCTGCATCTTGATGGGAAGTGCCCCTGCTGTCCTCTTTCCCACGTCTGCAGGCTGCTGGGGGAGCTCATGTTCCAGAGCCATGCCAGCTACAGCAGCTGCGGGCTGGGGTCCGACGGCACAGACAGGCTGGTGGAGCTGGTACGGGCGGAGATGGAGGCCGCGCGGGCTGCGGGCGGGTCCGAAGGGCCCCTGTGGGGAGCCAAGATTACAGGGGGAGGATGCGGTGGCACGGTTTGCATTCTGGGTGAAGCGGGGCCGGAAGGCGAGGCGGCTGTGCAGCGCGTGGTGGCCGCTTATGCGAGTGAGCGGGGGCTGGAGCCAAGCGCGATCAAGGTGTTCCGTGGCTCATCGCCCGGCGCGGCGGAGCTTGGGCCGTTGACTGTGGTCGTAAAGTAGAAACGTTGCCTAAACACGATGTGTGTATTTCTCTGATAATTGTGTAGAATATGCTATTCTGTTATGCGTGCGGCAGTTTGCGCCTGGGTAGGGTCGTCGTACACTAAGTAGCCTGACGTGTCGCCAAAAGCGCAACCCTAATCCAAACGCTCATACTCCTAATCACGCGCGCTTCAATCGTTCTAGCGATAACTTATTATAGGCATCATCGCAATCACTAGTTGCACTTCCTCGCAAACTCCGCTTGCATACTGGTCCGTGTTCGGCTAGCTTGGCACCCGAGGCGTAGGTTGGCGTCGGCTAAGATGCCTCTTTCAACACATCCGTTAGCGATGGGCCCGTCGGCGGCCTCGCATCAAAAGGTCGTCAATGTGCCGATGGGCAGGTTGGGTGTAACCCAGAACTCTCCAGCTAGCGTCAGCGGACGTTGTCACAGGCGCTCATGTGAGTTCCATTTTACCTAGTTGTCTTGCACAATGAGCTATAATGCTCATCTGCTAACCCGGCTCCATCTTACTCGTCTTCCTGCGCAAAGGCGTGACGCACGCTCAGCAGGGACCAAATGAGCCGAACATTGGCAGCATTCATCGTGATCTGCTAGCAGAGGTACGAGTTATGGGCACGCTTGTTGGATAGGACATTCGCTGAAGCAGTCCGTCCCTTGCAGATTGAAGAGCGGCGAAGGAACCAGGCGCAACTACTGGAAAAGCTAAACAAACTGGCCGCAGACTCGCCCGTCAAGGGAAATGCTGCCGCTCCTGCACCCGTCCCTGTGCTTGCCGCGGTTTCAACCGCGGGGCCATCCTCAGCATCAGCGCCCGCACGAGCCCCTCCACCCATGTCGCCACAGCCATTGCCACCGGCTCCCGCTGTATCTCCCTCTATACCGGTGTTTGAGGTACGCCCCAGGACGAACAGTGTGTATTGTAACATGCACAGAGCTTAGATGTGATAGGACGGTTTGTAACGGCTACACAGCCCAGTGGCCGTTACAAACCGTTGCAAGCCACAACACAGACATGGACCATGTTCACCATCCTAACAGGGCATAGTCTGCTGCTACTCTCACAAACCAATACTTCCACGGAGGCATCGGAAACGCACGCTGAGTTCTGCCATGGCAGTCCGCCAGCACTCCTTGTTAGCGCTGGGCTCCCTCCCTTTCCCCCCATCTTCCTCCCCATTCCGCGCCCTTCCCCGCCCCCCCCCTCCGCCGCGCAGGTGCCCTCCCTGCCGCTTGGTTCCGAGCCGGAGATGTACATCGAGCCCGCCGTGCCGGTGCCGGAGGCCGCCCCCTCGCCCCATGAGAGCGCCCCGCAGGCCGCCCAGAAGCCGCCCCCGCTGGCGGGTCCCAACGTCATGAACGTGGTCATGGTGGGGGCGGAGTGCGCACCCTGGTCCAAAACAGGTGCGCATTCCCGGGCGGGCTGCCTACGGCGTTGGTAGACTTCATACCCCGTGGGAACCCCGTTCCCGCGTGGCTCGTGCCGCGTGGCCTACCCCCCTCTCCTCCCTGCGTGTGCAGATGTCTAACTGCATGTGCAGACCACAGTCTGACCAATTTGCCATGAGTCTCCTGATGCACCCTGTCCTTCCACCTTCTCCCTCCCATGCGCTGACTCGCCACTCCGGCTGTTGCCGTCGTCTTGTCGCATCATCCTTCATCCAACCGGTGTCCGCTTCGCTCTCCGCCCCTCCCCACACGCACTCTTCCCCCGTCTCTCCCCACACGCACTCGTCCCCCGCCCGCCCCCAGGTGGTCTGGGCGATGTGATGTCCGCACTGCCCAAGGCGCTGGCTCGGCGGGGGCACCGCGTGATGGTGGTGGCGCCGCGCTATGAGAACTACCCGGACGCCTGGGAGACGGGCGTGCGGCGCACCTACAGCGTGCTTAACTCGCAGCAAGAGGTGAGAGGCGGGCAGGCGGGGGCCCGGTGGGGGGGATGGAGAAGGGGGATGATGTGAAGAAGGAGCTGTGACAACTGACATGGGCAAATGCGTAGGCTACATTTTTCATGCTACACCATAATAGGTCAGGAAGGTCGCCAGCTTACCTTACCAAACCCCGACTGGCTCCTCCGCCAGGTTGGCTACTTCCACGCCTATGTTGACGGGGTGGACTACGTCTTCGTGGACCACCCCGCTTTCCAAAGCCGCGGGAAGGACATCTACGGCGGCGAGCGGGGGGAGATCCTCTTCCGCTGCGCGCTGCTGTGCAAGGTGGGGCTGCGGGTAGAGGTGTTGGGACCAGCCGCGCGTCATGCTACTCGTCATGTTACTCGTTGCGACGTGGTTACATGGCGGAGGGGCCCTGTCCTGCCATCGTCTGGCCGGAAACAGGGTTTCCAAGGAAAGTGGTTCGCCGAACACCCCCGGTACCTGAGTTATCCGTGCTGCCCAACCCCCCTCCCTGTTTTCGCAGGCGGCGCTGGAGGCTGTGTGGCACGTGCCGTGCGGCGGTGTGTCGTACGGCGATGAGAACCTGTGCTTCATCGCCAACGACTGGCACACGGCGCTGCTGCCCGTGTACCTGCAGGTGCGGGTGGGCGGGGTAACTGCAGGTGGCTGGCAGCAGGGGCAGCAGGGGGGCAGGGGTTGTGGGCAGGGACAGGGGTTACCGTATTCAGGAAAGCTGTCAGGAAACCATGCGACTGGACTGCACCATGGCAGCGGGTGGGGGGCGATGCCCCCCGGTGTAGTGGGGCGGGGATGGCATGAAAGCACCATGCGTTACTCCCACCACCCTCACTCCTCAGCTTCACCCTTCACCCACTCCTCCCCATCCACCACTCACCACTCACCCCACCACCCCTCAACCCCCCCACCCCACCACCCCCCAGGCGCACTATCGTGACTACGGCAAGATGACCTATGCGCGCTGCCTGTTCGTGATCCACAACATGGCGCACCAGGGCCGCGCGCCCTTCGTGGAGTCGGGCCTGCTGGAGCTGAACGAGGAATACCGGGAGCGGTTCCGGCTGTACGACCCCATCGGCGGCGAGCACATGAACGTAATGAAGGCGGGGCTGGAGTGCGCGCACCGGCTGGTGGCGGTGTCGCATGGATATGCGTGGGAGTGCCAGACGCCGGTGAGGTGTTGGGCGCCTGGGGGTGTTGGTTAGCCCGGTTAGCGGGGCCCCTCGAATTCCCTCATTCTGTGGTCGTGCACTGCTCCGCCGCGATGTGGGCTTGGGAGCTTAGCACGTTCTGCTTCCCCGCATTCCTTTACCTGACGGCTTCCTCCTGCCTCTACCTCACTTCCTTCTCTGTACCCGCCTCTCCCGTTCCTTTCCAACCCTCCCAGGAGGGCGGCTGGGGCCTGCACGAGGTGCTCAAATCCAACAATTGGAAGCTACGCGGCATCGTGAACGGCATCGATGAACAGGAGTGGAACCCGGCCACGGACGACTTCCTGAAAGTGAGCAGCTGCTGCAGCAGCGCAACCAGCGGCGGGGAGGGGGGCAAATTGACATGTTGGCAGCTCCCACGGTTATCTGGCAACCCCCACCCCTGTCTGCTTCCCTTTCCTAACCCCGTCCCTGCCCCTTCCCTAACCACATTGCCGCCTTCCTCCGCCCACCAGTCCGACGGCTACCGCAATTTCTCCGTGGACAACCTGGTGGAGGGCAAGCGCGCCTGCAAGGCGGCCCTGCAGCGGGAGCTGGGGCTGCCCGAGGACCCGGACGCGCCGCTGCTGGGCTTCATCGGTCGGCTGGACTACCAGAAGGGGGTGGACCTGATTCGCGACTGCTACGACTACATGATGGGCGAGCGCTGCCAGCTGGTGATGCTGGGCAGCGGGCGGCAGGACCTGGAGGAGGCGCTGAGGGAGATGGAGAACAGGTGGACGGGGAGGGGGGGAGATGCGGGGGCGGGAGCGGAAGGAGGCGGTCGTTTGGCAGGGGTTTAGTTACCACGCTGTTGCCGCCGCCTGTTCCCGACGGTGGAAGCGGTGTTCCTCCTCAGCGAAGTCCTTGCTCGCCCCCACATTCCGTTCCCACTTTGCTTACGTACGCAACACGCACCTACTCACACACACGCCCGCATGCGCACGAACAGGAACAAGAACCAGTGCCGCGGCTGGGTAGGCTTCTCCGTCAAGATGGCGCACCGCATCACCGCCGCTGCCGACATCCTGCTCATGCCCTCGCGCTTCGAGCCCTGCGGCCTCAACCAGCTGTACGCCATGGCGTACGGCACCGTGCCCATCGTACACGCGGTGGGCGGCCTGCGCGACACTGTGAAGCAGTTCAACCCCTACGAGAACGTGGGAACCGGCTGGTGCTTCGAGCGCGCAGAGGTGCGGACTTCGGGTGTGGGCGGGAGGTAACAGAGCCGCGGTGAGGGTGTTTGCGGTGGGGTGGGGCATGCGAACCCATGGATGTACGACATACAGGGGCACGCCTAGCATGTGCCGGTCAAGCGGTTACCGTACCTTGTTCCTCACCTATAAGAGCTCCTAACATCCCAAAATCGCCGACGCAGGCGAACAAGCTGCGCGAGAGCATCGGCAACGCGCTGTACACGTACCGTCAGTTCCGCGACTCGTTCGTTGGGGTGCAGCGGCGCGGCATGGAGCAGGACCTCACCTGGGACCACGCGGCCTCGCTGTACGAGGAGGTGCTGGTGGCGGCCAAGTACCAGTGGTGAAGGGGAGGAAGAGGGAGGAGCTGAAGAGGCAGGAAGAGGGTGAAGGAGGAGGAACCGAGGGACATGTTGTCCGAAGCCTGACTCAGGAACTGAGGGTGTTGGGTATGGAATGCTTCCCTGCTGTGACTGATTTACAGTAGTGTTAGTGCTCTACACACTGCTCCCGCGAGGTTTTGCTGCTGCCGGATGGCTGCTAAAACTATGCTTGGAATGGCGTGGTGGGAAATGGAGGAGAGCTGTGAAGAGACGCGTATGAAAGTGTGGGCGTACATGAAAACGATGAAGGGGGTGTTATGAGGAATATCCAGATGGATGTGATGGGCCTGCGGCACGGCATGCGAAGCCGTCCTGCCAGGTATGTATTACGTGAGCTGTGACCACTTGCTGCGGCCCGCATAATGGGGTTGTGCCTTGTGCCGACCCGACGACGTTTTGTTTATTACTACATCAACCTTTTTCCCGTGTGTATCGCCCGACCGAACAAGGTGTATGCAGGAGGAACATGCCGCTGTTAGCGGGTGTTGGAAGCTTGCTGAAGACCTCTATTTCGTTACTCTCTGAGTTGGCGAAACGGGAGTTACATTTAGGCAGAGAAGATGATTGCATAGGTTCATATGGCTGTGGCTTACGTTGCTAACTCCCTTCTGCAGATTTGTTTACTCATTATTTACCGGCTCCAGAAAAGCCCTGTTGTGCCCACCTTGAACGAGGGGACAGTAAACGCATCATGTCTTTTGTTGTGTATTCCGTTGCGCCGCGCATCTCAAACTTAATGTAAGAAGTTCCATCTCTCTACCCGCTAATTTCGTGTACACCCATTGTGTGCACTCCTCGTTCCAGCAACCTCCTTTGAATATACCATAATGCCCATTCAAGCCACACATCCCTGCTCCTAACCCCTGTCAGCAGGGTATATATCGGTAGAGGACAAATGACCTTCCATCACCAGCACAGGAAACCCAAAAGCTTACCTAGAATACCCAACATGCCTGGCGAAATCACCATGTGCTTCAATGCCACAACAACACAAAGATGGATAACGTCTGTAACGCGCTCGTGCCAGTACCCGTTATCTCCTGCGGACCCCAGCCCCCCAAAACACTCCTCCACCCTGCTGCGCAACCCTCCACCCTTGCCCTTGACGCAAGGCGTAAGCAGTGTGTTTATTCTCGCATTCACTCTCGCATGCACAACGGGAACGCACACAGCACCCAGACGCCGCAGTTTTACTTACTGGTACATTTAGCTACCCGCCCTGATGACTTCGACTGCGCCTGCTCTCCACCATCCCAACCACCCCCATCAAGCGCCCCCTCACCCGCAACCATGGAGATCCAGCCACATGCCATGCCAAGTACCCCGCTCATCCGAACAACGCTTGCCTCTGAAACACAACACGCGCAGCAGCAATAGCGACACCTAACCTCGAGTAAATACAACACAAGCCGTACCCTATTAAAGACAGCTCGCTATAATCTCAAAAAGCTCACAACAAAAGGGGGCGGTGTGCGCGCAGCTGCAGCAATGCAGAACCAGCAAGCACCGCTCCCCCGCCGCTGCACTTCCTAAACCCTCCTTTACCTCTCCCCCCCACAGGCCCACCGGCCGAAATGCCTGCTGCCACCGCTGCTGCTGCTGCTGCCCACCTCTCATCCCTGAATGCCTGTATGCCTTGCATGCCTTCGGTGATTGCACAACGGGCAAAAGACCACAAGCAACTCCACCAGCCCCCACCTAGGCCCAGCGCCCCTCCACCCCGCACCCTTACACTCTTACAACGTGCCCCTCCGGCCCTTCAATCCGTCCCGCCAACCCCACAACTCCCAACTAAAGCGTGGCGGCGATGTCAAAGTCCGTGTCATAGCTGCCCAACGACGACCCCTTCCGCAGAATCCGCGTCTCCACCTCCCCATCCTCCCGCGGCGCTATCTCCAGCACCTGCACCGGCCGGTTCAGCACGCCCTGCGACATGCCCACATCGATACGCCACACGCGGTTGTCGCACTCGCAGTTGGCGCCCCCGACCTGCGGCGTGTGCCCCACCACCAGCCGCCGGCCGCCCACCCGCGCCAGGGCCTGCTGCAAGTTGCGGCAGGCGTGGTAGCGCTCGTTGGGGCTGGCAAAGTCCTTGGAGAGGGAGCGGTTCCACATGACGCTGTTGGCGCTGCTGGGACGAAGCGGGGCGGGGCGGGGAAAGGGAGGAGGAGGGAGAGGGAGGTCAGGAGGTGGGGAGGGCGGTTGCTGCTGCTCAGGTTCTAACGTTCCGAGCGCTTGCATGGACCTATGAGTATAGCTTATGACGAGCTGTTGGCCTCAGGTTCCATCTTCCACTGTGCATCCGGTCTTAACCTCTACGTGCGAAAGGCTGCAGCCACTCGCTCATTAACCACTAGCGCCCTACTTGGGTCCCGAAGCCCCCGCTGCTTGATGGTCCTCCTCCCAGACCCCCAGCCCCCCGGCCCCTGCCCTGTCCTGCCGCCTCACCCCATGGCAACCACTGGCGGCTTGCAAGGGCCGCCGTCCGGCGCCAGGTCCCCCCGCATCCACGCCGCCACCTCCCTGTTTATCCGCTCAATGCCGTACTCCGCTGCGGTTACAACATCAGGAGGAGCAGACCGTGTTGTAAGCACACTAGGTACCCGTGGAGTGTTAACATAACCTAATGGCCTGATAAGAAACTAGCGGATGCCGAGCCACCCCGCAATGCCAACTTTCCTTCTAAACACCATCTAACCCCATATGCTCCTCCGCCAAGACAATGCAATACCACCTCAATGCCCCCAACCCCCAACCCCGCGCATGTCGCCATCCCACCCGTCTCCACCTCCCTTCCCTCCGCACCGCCTCGCCCTCACTCACTGTGCGTTGGTAGCAGGCCTCCGTGCGCAAACACCGTGTCATTGACGACCAGCACGGTGGGGTTGCGCGCAAACTCCCTCGCCAGCTGCCCCCCCGGCCGGTACAGCGAGTAGCGTACCTGCGCGACCAGCTTGAAGTCGCGCAGCTCCGACTCACTCAGGCCGCCGTACAGGGCCGACTCGGCGAAGGCGCCCGGCGTGACGTACCTGCACAGGCCACAAGGTGGGGCGTGGTGGAGCAGCGGGGTTGCGGCAGCGGGCGGTGGCGGGTGTGGGGTCAGGTGTATGCGTCAGTGCTGGCTTGCTGGGCACCTGGGGTGCGCTTTGGCATGTGTGCGGTCTCAAGGAGGTCTGCTGGGGAAGAGCCGGGATTTGGAGGGCATGCTCGATGGCTACGGTAGTCTCGTGATGATGCAGGACAGCTCCAATTCCTCTTTGATGAGCGGCCTCCCCACTCAGGAAGCGTCAACAGGGCGCTGCACCAACAGTGCCCGTGGTCAACTGGTCATCAGACCGCCGCCATCACACCGTCTGGTAGCACACACTCATCCTAGCAAGCATGCACGCCGAATGTGCAGTGTTTGCGCCCCATACATGCTATATCCTGCACTCCAGATGCACCGTCCCTCCACCTCCCCAACCCACCGGAAGTCCCCAAGCACGTTCAGGCTTTCGTGGTTGCCATTGAGCATGTACACGGCGCCCCCGTGCCGCCGAGCCTCCACATCCAGGTAGCGCAGCATGTTAATGATGCCTGAGGCAAGGGGGCCGGGAGGGGCGACGGCGAGAGGAATGTGTAGAAGGAGCTCGTGTGAGGGAAGGGAATGTAGAAGGAGCTCGTGTGAGGGAAGGGAGGGGGCCGGAAGAGGAAAGGGCGAGCCGGGATCCGTGGGCGTGGATAGGAAGCGGTTGCGTGTCGTGCCATGCCAAGGGGCAGCCAGTCCCCAGCGGCTGTGTTGGCTGCGGCCAGGATGCATAAAGCGTCATTGTGAAGCAGGGGCTCGGCGGTGGGCATGCTTAGGCGATGATTGGAGCGGTAGTAGGTTGTGTTGGAAGGAGGCTGATGGATGGAAGGGGCAACTGGTTGGGTACCGGGGGCTGTGTGGCTATAAGGGCATACGGCTCCAGCGCAAGGCCAATGAAGTAGGACTTACCGATTTCGACGTCTCCTCTGTCCAGCACATCTCCTAGCTGCACTACGACCGTGTCGCCTCCTACCCATGAAACCGTCCCCTCTTCGCTGACGCTGATAACGTTGCTTAACATGAGAGCCTCAACTGCTTTTTCTAGGTCGCCGTGAAGATCCCCGACTACAAAGGCAGTAGTGATTAAGTAAGTAAGAGTTTCAGCATGCAGCTTGCCGCGGGTTCAGTGATTGCCCTTACTTGCAACAATTCGCCCGGTTGCTGTTACATAGGTAGGCGGATCTAGCACATCGCTTCCACGAGGGGATGTTGATACCTCGCCCCCTCGGTCTGGAGCCGCTAATGTAGCGCTCGCTGAGCTGACGCTTGATGTGTGGACCAGGAGCGTAGCGCCAGCAATCTGCTGGAGCAAATGACGTTTATTGCTTGTCCTTCCTACAGCTGTATGAGCTGAAAGCTGCCGGCAGACCCTCCTCGACAACACTGTCGGTGCCGCAAGCTGTTTGGGCAGGCTGCTGCATTGTTGGCCGCGCATTTGCCTATGTAGTAAAGCCATTTTGGCAGCTGCTGGCTAGTGCAGGTTAGCAGCTGGCTTGCGGGGCCTTCCCGAGTGTTGGCGTATTGACGCCAGTGAGGTATGCAAACCAGCAAGCAAGGAAAGGTGCGAACAGTATAAGGGTCAACACCTATGTCACCAATGCTCACTAGTAAACATCTATCGCTCGCCGTGCCCTAGTGGTGGTTGAGGAAAGCCCATCTCATGCAGAGCAACGGCAAGTGTCGCATTAAATGTACGCACCCAGCGCAACTATTATGCATTCTCCTATACTTCTACATACGCTTTGCCCACGGTGTCTTATCCTTGTGCCGTTGCCCGGCAAGTCGCGCTCACCTGCTCCAGACGTTACTCCTGTCAACTCACAATTAATACCAAAGCACACCAACTTGTAGCCACAGCTATCAGCATAGTCTCGCTCTTAGGAGGGCACATTAGGGCTATAGGTTGCGTTATGAGGGTTAACGCACCAATGCCTGCAACATGTGTTCCTTGAAGCCAATTTGTTACGGGGACACTGCACAGAGTGGTAACATGGTCAATTGCGGGGAACAATATGTGGGTTTTGGCAGCCAGTCGGCAGGAAAACCCAGGCATGTGGTAACATGTGTTGGCATGTCTGACGCTTTCCATACATTGGGGCTAAGCGACGCTGCACAGTGTCGTGCAAAAGCACCGCACTATGGGCACATCTTGTGCCACAGCTTTGGTCCGTGTTTTAATCAGCAGGAGTTGCTGCTTAAGACAAACTTCACTGTTGCTCAAGTAGGTGTTTATGCGGCGGACTTTGGCGGATACTTCGTGTATGCAAGCACCGGTGAGCAGATGCAAGGCAAGCCTGGGCCGAATAGCAGTAGTCAATGGGTGCCTACACGCATGCAGGCATAGCCACCTGGAGACAGTGAGACAGCGGGCCTGCTCGCTCGGGGACATCCACACGCCGCCAGAGCAATCAACCCTATCCACTCCTGCTCCCATAATTGTTGGTCTTACCGTCCCTGCCTCCCCCTTGCAAAAACGGAACATGAAGGACCTACAATACACGGATTGCAAGCACAACGTTCCATACCAGCAGAACCACGGTTAGTTAACAAGGCCGCCATTATGAGTCCACGACATGAAATTGTGCAGAAGCACCTGCTAAAACCCAACGCCTTCATTCATACCGGTAACCCAAGTAAACAACGGTATTGCACGGTTTTGAGGACACGTGTTTGTCGTACATCAAAGTCCGAGATCGAGGGTGCGCGCGGAGCTTGGGGCGAACCCACTCGTTTCCAGCAGCAGGGTGTCGTCCGAAAGCCAACCACTGCAATTGCCCGACAATCCTACCAAATACCAACAGACATGCTTCTTAGAGATGGACACGAAACAGCCCATGCTAATACGCGATTACGCTGCCTCCACAGTGCTCCATTGTTACCGTATATGTCAATGCTGATGCCTGAATAGAATACATGTGTTAGCAACCACCTGCCGGCCCTCGTCTCTTTGTTTTCTTCATTCGTTGGGTACCTCGTCCTCAGTTTACCTAGAGCTACAGAATGAGTAGGGCATACAGCGAAAGCACGGAAAACCAAGGCAGCAAGCGCGATTCGTTTCACGCGTATGACAGCCACGATGAACACCAGTGGGACCGCGGCGCACATAACGCTCCCACAAACCGCTCCTGCTCTACTAAAAGACCGCCCAGGCGATGCAGCAGAGCCCCATGGGGCCACAGCAAGCGCTGTCAGTCAAAGGTCATAGCCGGAATCGGTCGGAGCTCTCACTGCCCTGCTCCACGACGGGCTGCTTAGCCGGGTGTGCGCTTGCCGCGGGGTAGCCAAAGTTGCCGACCCACAGCATCTCGCGTGCCTTCTGCTCCACTGGGTCCTCCTTCACTAGGTTCTGGTACACCGATGTGACGTACGCCATGCGGCGGGTTTGCTGGTACTGCTGGTGCTTCTCCTGCTCCTTGGCTGCTACCCACTGGTGGAATGCACGCTGCGGGGAGGAAGGGCACGGGAGAGGGCAGCGTATGGGATATGCATGGAGAGCGGTAATGGACGGGAGCAGGCAGTTGCTGCGCAAGGTAGGAGAAAATGCAGGAGAAAGCAGGAGGGACCAACAGAGCGAAGCGATATGCAGCGTCCGCAAAGCGTAGGCCAACACGCACCTCCGTTCCCGTGCGTCCCAGTCAAGGATGGCAACTGACTCACCTCGTTCGCCTCCCGGACTTGCAACTGCACCCGTGCAGCCTCCAGCACTTTCTCCATTTGCACCTACGGGAATGGAAACACGGGAGTCAGCAGCCTGTGCCGCGCCTCAAAAGACCACATGTCCGTGGTTGACTGGCAGCATTATGACGGCATGCAAGCTAATGTTAACCCTTGCCGATGGCGGCTTGCGGCTCCGTTCGGATGGTAAACGGCCAGCGCAAGGTTGGCTCACGTCGTGTCCCATCGTGCCCAGCGCATGCCCAGGAAGCGCAAGACAGAGCAATCAACCAGGCAACCGTCGCCTCCACTCTGGGCCAGGAGATCCTTCTTCCGGCCCGGCTGTTCCTAACCCAACCCCAGAACAAGTTCTACGTGTGGCCTTATAGCACATGCTAAGACGTAGCACTCAATACGACAGTCCACACAGGGAATCCCCGCAACATGCAACCGTCCCTGCTCCGTACCTGCTGTTTGCGCTGCTTGGATAGCGCCGCGTTAACATCGTGCTGTACCTTCCAGTCGTACACGCGACCCACGTTAGGTACGGTGCGGTACACCGCGGTCTGCAAGTAAACCGGGTCCACCGCGGAGATGTCGTGCCGCTCCCGGGGCTTCGGCTTTGGAGGCGGCGGGGGCGGCGGGGGAGGCTGGAAATAGCGCTGCGCCGCTGCATTGGGTTTACTTGACGACACTCGTTGGGAGGTGGCAGGTTGACTGCGTTTGCTTGCAGTTTGGTGGGAACCGGATGCTTTACGGGCCGGCTTCGTGTTGCTCCGCTGATTGATGGGTGGAAGAGCGCCTGTGGGCTGGACCTGGCCAGGGCAGCTTGTGCTGGCCTCCTGGTGGCTGTCCCTCCGCATGGACTCCTTGCCAGCTGAGGAGTTGCGAGTTGGTGCCGGTGGAAGAGACCAGGGGCCAAGTTCCCCTGAGTCGTCAAGGGCTAATCGAGAACAAGAACACCGTGACTCGGCTGCTTGACGTGCGTCTAGACTGGCTGCTCGCGCATGCAGCGCGTCTGACGTCGACTCGCGTGGACCAGAATCGAAGGACAATTCATTGTAATCCATATCATCTCCTAAGATATCGTGTGCGTCTACATATTGGCCTAAGGCCTCCGTCCTTCCCTCGTCTACCATGTGAGAGCAAGTCTACGCGATAAAAACAGGCTATAACGGAGTGTAACGGTCAGCAAAGCATTAAGCCAGGTATTCTACCAGTGTACAAAAGCGTCAAAGAGTATCAAAGTGCAGCAACGGCTTATAAGTTGCTATGTTCTAGGTGTAAAGTGCATGAGACACAATACGGTAGGGCTCCCCATAAACATGTGCGCAGCTGTTGTAGGTGTAGTTGCCTAGCCTTTGAGCTTGGATGCCTGTGGAGCGAGGCTTGTGCGTACGGGAAGGCTCGTACAATCCTCTTCGGCGCGTTACGCAAAGCAATTTCTACTCTGTTATGCCTAGAGGTTCCGGCTGGGCAAAGAAACTCGAACCCGGTTATCTAGTTGTCTCCACCACCGGTGCGCAGTCCGGTGCCCAAACCTGCTCTGGCGGGAACTGTGCAGCCCACGATAAGGTTATATCAATAAACGATGGTAGAGACAGTAGCTCATAGCGCTTCAGTGGATGGCCTGGCCGATCACCCGCCCCTCTTAGGCCATCCTGTTTATAATGGGGAGCCACCAGCGCCAGGTCCTGAAGAGCGGATGAACCCATTTGTCGCCATCATCTTGCTTTATGGTATCATGCTGCTCATGGTCGGAGCTCAGGTGAGTGCGGGCTTTGGCTTGGGGTGTTGTTGGGGTTACGTGTCACAGACCGTAATGCCTTGGCCTTACGCAATTGCCTTGCGTAACTATTCAATTAGGCTGGTGCACCACTGCATGCATCAGATAGGCGCATGGTGCTTTAATGCAAATTATGCATATCTGATACCCATGCAACCGTTACCCTTCCGCAAGACCAAGTACGCCGCTTCTCTTGTGGGCATAAACCTCGCTACCCCTTGTCGCTCCCGTCCGTAAGGTCTAGCTACACCCTAGTTTCATAGCTTGCCTGCATGCACGTTGTGCAGTGACCACATCCATCCCATATTTGTTTGTCATCTCCTGCAGCTTGTAGGCGTGCTGCTCAATACCTTTCCACACACTTGATGAGCAATGCCTCTTAAGTCCTGCCCCCGACACCTGCTCCCTGCCTGCCTTGCTCGTCCCAGACAGCGCTGTTTATCTGGAAGAAGAAGCACCGCAAGTCCTATGAGCTGGTGACGCTGCTGGGCATGTGGCTCATGCCGGCGCTCATATCGGTGCACCTGCGCTTCTACCGCTTCCTGGTGGTATGGGCCATCTTCTCGGCCATTGCCGGCCGCCTCATATGGACGTGTGCGCAAAAGAAGATGTCGCGCACCACGCCGCGGCGGGTGAGTGGAAGGGCCAGGGCGTAACCTGGTATCGTCTTAGGTTTGGAACCTCTGCACGGAGCGCGGGGCTGTCCATGGATGTTCATGTTGGGGTTCAGCAGGTGTAGGCAGGTGCGGGCACGCAGCCGACTGGTCCTTGCCCGCCGCTCAGATGCGAAAGGGGTCTTTCCTTATCGACACTATGTGACGTTTTACCTGCCCTCTTTCGCTTTCTCCATCCGCAAAGTAGACCCGCAGCCCTCCGTGTACCCCACGCTGGGCTCCCTGCCTCTACCATGTACCCGCTGCTCAACCCCTCGATCCCCTCGCATCGCAGGTGTACACCTTCTTCCTGGGCTTGTATCGCGTCTGCAAGGTGGTGGGCGTCACCGGCTACGCCTTTGTGTTGGCGGAGATGTTTGGGTTAGGGCCGCTGCTGCACCTGCTTTTCCCCAAGGACCTGGCCATCGACCTGGTGTGGTACGGCCTGTACTTTGGGATCCTAGGTCGCGACTGCGCCCAGGTGGCGACAGACAGCTTGTCTTCGCGGCTGGGCATGGAGGGGCGGCAGCTGGCCACCCGCATCAACAACTGCGGCATCTGTGGGAACGAGCTGTGTGACGAGCTGGTGCCGGTGGCAGGAACTGGGGAGGAGCCGGTTGCGAAGCCATCGCCGGAACGCACGGTGCAGTTGTCGTGCAAGCACTGTTTCCACGACCTATGCATTCGGGGCTGGACCATGGTGGGCAAGAAGGTGGGTTGAGGCGAGCAAGCCGACTGTGGGCGGACTGTCTTGAGTGGAAGACGCATGGTGGGAGGGTGTTTCGGGCATAGTATTGCTCAGGAGACGTGCGACGCGGTGCTCACAAGCAAGGAAAAGAACTGATGGTAACTGTAGCTACAGTACCGCATGCGGCACCACGACCGGCAGACGGTATTCTGTCGTGGCTACGACCCAAGGCAAAGCAATTAGCCCGTTATGGCCTTATCCCTTTCGCAGGACACTTGTCCCCAGTGCAGCGAGAAGGTAGACCTCCGCTCCATCCTGGCGGATCGTCCCTGGGAGACCCACAACATTACTTGGATTCAGGTGAGCATGGCAAGCGAGCAGGACGTACTGCATGACGATGCTGCCATGTGCCAGCGCACTCAAAACGCCTGGAGCATAAGCAATTAAGCATACATTCTGGGCACAAAAAGAAGCTTGCCTGCTACTGCTCGTCGTTCCATTGCTGCTTTAATTGTCGAGGGTGGCAACTTGCTTCCAACGGTCGCCGACTCTGTTCCTCACTTCCTTCTTGCTTCCCTCCGATGTTCATGGCAGATGATGGACGGCATCCGGTACCTGGTGAGTGACCATCGCGGCGAACGGGCAATACACGTGTTGGCTGCGTTTCATGGCATCCATGCATGACACCTAGGAAGTATGTCCAGGACCTTGCGGTGTCGTTTGAAAGCCCGCTGCGCAGTTCAGCCTATACGCGGGTGCCAAAGGATAGCGCAGATGTCGTGAACCCTCACCGACACCCACAACCAACGGTCCATGCCCGCAGGTTGTCTGGAATCCAATCATCTTCACGGCGTTGTCCTTCCTGCTGCACATATTCGGGCCGCACCGCCACAACGGTGCTCACGGGGTCGATTCGGCACCCCTGGTTGGGCCCCCCGGCCTGCACACGCTTGGAAACGCCACATTGACGCCAGCAGTGCTCTTGGCTGCCAACACGAGCGGTGGCGTCAACCTGACACATCCGCATTTGTGATGTCGGCATGCCAGGGGTGTGTTTGGCCACGCGTTGCTCTGCCTTTTGTTTTTGACAGGGGCCAATCCAGCTGGGAATCGTAGGTCTGGGCATGATTTGGAGTAGGGGATTAGTCGAGATGCAGGGCTAACTGTCGCTGGACGTCAGTCGTTACGTAACGAACGATTTTGATGGGTGATGGCAAGTTCGTGATGCGGATCGCTGGTTCGAAAGCACGATACAGAAGTACAGAGACCAACGCAGTGGTCGGAGTAGTCATGTTCTCATGACCATGGCCTGCATATTAGCAGACGGTTAAAACCTAATCTATAAGCTCTACATCTCCCCATACCGGTAACATGTCATGCATTGGCAGTACGACATTGCAGCGCCCAAGCAATTTGGCCGTGTCCACAGTCCCAGCTATCCTAGCTAAGTACCTATACTCCCGAACCTCACAAGCTGCCTTGTCGGCAGAAATCCTCCATACCCCGCCAGTACGCGCGCCCCTACCCTGCTGAGACATCAGCACTAATGACCAGTTAGATGCATTGCATGATACTAGTTCCACTCGAACTTCCGCCGCCCATGCCACACGGGTGGGTCCGTGTTTGCTAGCGTGTGGTTGACCTTAGTCAGGTACTCCTGCTCCGCGCGGTCCACCTGCTCAGACTCCCGCAGCTTCTCGTCTTGCTCCGCCGCCTTCATGTGCGCTTTGGCCACGATCTGCGTCTGCAGGTCCAGCCGTCGCGTCACGCCGGCCTTGCGCTCAGCAGCTTCACGCTGAGCAGCATCCTCGGCGGCCGCCGCAACGTCGTCAAGCATCTTTGCGCGTTCGAACGCTTTCTCCTCGGCCAGGGCCAGCCTGGTGACACGAATACGGTTGCAATGATACTGTTGTTAGCAGGTTTTCTTGCTTTCGGTATGCGCCAAGGACCATGCATGAAGCATACAAGGGCGCGTCCCGAGCCAGCATGGGGCTACCTGGTAATCCGCATATGCACACCTCGACTGCGCATTCTGCATGGACAACACCCACCTTCTCGCCAGCTTTTCCTGGATTTGCAGCTGCCGAATGTCGTCCACTTGTTTCATGAGCTGCCGCCGTGCTAGCTCTCGGGCTGCCAGCTCCGCATCCCGCTTGGCCTCCTGCTCCAGCTGCGCCTTGAGGATGAGTGCGTCACGCTCCGCATTCTCCTCGCGCTCCTTCTCCATCATGAGCGCCAGCTGCTCGCGGTACAACCGCATCTCCTCGCGTCGTCGCTCACGGTACGCCAGCTCTGCGGCTTCATCCGCTGCCTCACGATAAAGCGCCTCTTGCAGGATTTTAAGGTCCATTTCCCTGTATGCAGGAAAGGATGGAACGGCTGCGAGTTGCGGGGAGCCCTTGCCGAAGCGGAATTATGTCGGGCATCTAGCAAGTATAAGTATGCCGCGTGGCTGCAGACCACATGGCGGGCCAGACACCAGAAAGCACAGATGAAAAGGTATGCATGGCTGGCTCTTGACCTTCAGCTCCTGTCAGCGTTTGCGTTACGCAGCACCCACAGCATGACCAGTCACAGTCCGATGGGCCAGAGCGCATACCTTTCTGCGCGCTCTGCTTCCGAGATCTTCATCTGTTTGATGCGGTTGAACTCCATAAGCTCCTCAGCCAGCTTCCGCATGTTTTCGCGCTCCGCCGCCTCCGCCGCCTCCGCTGCCGCCGCCATTTGCTGCCACATAGCATTCAGCTCGGCAATCTCCGCGCGCCGGAGGCGGGCCTGCTCCTGGCGGCGCGCGTTGATCTGCCGCACCTGCTCGTCTAATATCCGCAGGGTCTCCTCACGCCGCTCGCGCTCGCGACTCTTATCGTCTTGGTACCTGTTGTAAGCAGGGGTAAACGCGGAAGGATTTGGTCATGGTAGCGCGACGGGAACGGCAATGATGCGGCATGCGGGATCAACAGACAATTACATGCATGCCGCCGCAAACCTCGTGCAGACCCACCTTTGCTCCATCTTAAGCCGCTCGACCTCGCTCATTTCGTGCCACATGCGCTTCTCCTCTTCTGCCATGATCCGAGCCGCCATCCGCTGCTCGATCTGTGGGATGCGGCAGGCGTGAGGGTCACCATAATGCGAGATACCGGTACCCGGAACAACCAGATGGCACGCGGTAGAGGTATGTTATGGCGCAATGTAAGTAAGGGTGTCCACTAACTGCCTGCCCACTAAGTTAACGTAACCGCAAATGGGCAGGTAGGGGCGGGAACGCGCACAGCTCATCGCAAGAACGACTCCCGCACCTGCGCATTGCGCTCCTCCAGCGTGCGGTACAGTATGCGTTTGGAGTTTTCCCCACGCAGCACGTCGCAGCTTTGAATGAAGGCTTTCTCGTACAGTGATGCCGCCAGCTGCTGCCGCTCTGCTTCCCGTCGCTCCGCCAGAGCTCTGGCGCGTGCCGCAAGCTCCGCGCGCCGCTGCTCCGGCGTTTTCTTGCTGGCTATGAGCTCCTGGCGCAGGGCCATGTCCTCTGCTGCTAACTTCTCCGCAAGCCGCTGCCGCCGTGCGTTGAGGTCCGCCTCCCGTCGCGCCTTGAGCGCATCAAACCGTTGCTGTACAATGTTGCTGACTATTTTCTTAGTGGTCCGTGCCTCGAAATTTGCAACAGCTACCATGTTCTGTTCAACCTGTTGAGGACAGATGCAAGGACATCCGCTTAGCGACCCAAATTGGATAGCGAGGCCAAGCAAGCAGCAAGTAACCTTGTCTGAAAACGACAAGTTTACATGCAAGCTGAAAAAGCCCTTGACTTGGCACGCGGCATGCACGCAGTGCACATGTCTCAAGGACTGCCACACACCAACCTTTCGATCCTGCTGCAAATAGGCCAATCGATCTTCCAGTTCACGCATCTTCTGGATGCGTGCATCCGGCGGTGGCTTCTGCGCGGCAAAGGTCCGAAGATAACATAGCAAATGACGTTGAGTCGCATTTTGCTCTTACAAGAGCAATAAATGTCACACCTGCTTGTTCATTCTCAAAAAAGGGCGTAGAACAACCTTCTACAACGTCGCGGACTGAAAACGTGACGGGTGCCCGTATTAGCAAATGCCAGAGACTTTTTATCTAGACTGAAGAACAGTAGCTTTTGAATAAAAATTTCACTACGCTCCGATCAGCAAATGAAAGCCTATTTACAATGCCCTTTGCGAGAACGGACGGTTGCGTGGTTTGGCGATCTAGGAGCTGCGGGATGCTCCAATCAGGGCAAAGGAACCTTTGGTATGGACGAATCTCAGTGTTTCCTTCGATGCATACGACATTGCCGTACGAAGTTGGAAGGTCGGCTCAGACATGACGTCTTGCTTGCAGTGACAGTCCTGTCTATACGTGACCACCAGAGGCTCTCCTTACATACTTAACACGCCAACATGGCATCCTTACCAACAGTACATGCATCCTGCAAGAATACACAACTGAACCTCCTAGGTAGAATATCCAGCTATTTATCAACGAGTTTAGTCCCGAGATTAAGATACAGACTATCTATTAGAGGACGTTCCTTGCGATTCTGCGATCATCCAAGTTGACCGACGACCTGCGAGCGCAACATTTACTTTACGGCCACAGCCTATTACTCAACTGTGGAGGACCGCATCCTTCGATTTATTAAGTAGGTTGTCTCATATACTGCGTTGCCGAGTTATGTAGTATGGGCACAGGTTGGGAAGCAGCTGTCGTTTTGACGCCAACTGTCGATTGCCACCTTACTCATCGCTTGCCTGTCTGGTTACTACTCGTCAATTGTAACAGCTACGTATAACAATGTGACCCGGTGACCACCCTTAATTTGGTCGCAGGCAAACTTCTCTGCACGCCAGTTACAAGATGGAGACCTGCCGTACGGACAGTCCGGTTGCTGATGAGCTTCTTATCGAGCCAGCTACGTGCATCGCGCACGAACGTTCGAGTAACCAACGTGCCCAGCCTCCCGCTGCCCTTGCTCGCCGCCCGCTGTGCGACCGCATCCAAAATACTAGCTGGGTGGTGGCGCGCACGTTCGGCTTCCAGGCCTTCAACTCCCGCGTCCCGGCCTCCGGCCCCTGCCAGCAGCCTTTCTGTGCGGCCCAATGGGTTCCCGCCACAGCCCTGCTTGCCGGCGATCACCTAGAGGCGCTGCTGGTGCGTAACTTCATGCCCCGCATACTCATGGAGGCTGACGGAGGTGGAGGGGACACAGCACCGAGCAGCGGAAACAGCAACGTCGTTAGCGGTGAGGGTGAGGGCTGCAAGGGAGGGCAGCAGATGAAAGAGGACGCCACTGAATCCCAGCTGCAGCAGCGTCAAGAGGCGGCGTTCGCGCGAGCCGTGTGGGAGCTACACTCGCAGATCTTCTTGCCGTATGAGGGCTCGGCGGGCTGGTGCCGGCAGGTTGGGCTGGCTGCCCGGCCCGCTGCTGTTGCTTCTGAGCTGTTGGGCGCTCAGGGCGGTGCGGATCCGCGCGTGCTGCACCTGCTGCTGAGCGAGCTGGCGCTGTACTTCCTGATCTACAGCGAGGCCGCCAACCTGCGCCACACGCCCGAGCTGACGTGGTTCCTGTTCTGGGCCGCTAACAACAGCCCGGCCATGGAGCGGCTGGTGCGGGAGGGGCTGCAGCCGGAGCAGCAGATGAACAATGCGCGGGAGCGGCGTCTGGCCATGCGAAACACTTTGCAGGTGGGCTGCGGAAGAAGAACCTGGGGGAAGGGGCTCCATTTAAACTTCGCTTTCTTGGCAGTGAACGCCTGCCAGCATTAACCCGAGCCTCGACCCCTGACTCCAACCTGTCTGTTCTCCTCCCCGTTTCGCAGTCTCATCTTTGCGCCGTACAGCAGCATCTGGGCCACAACCCCACCGCCTGCCGCCCCGAGCACAACACCGAGGTCGCCGCCAGCCTTGCCGCCCAGCTGCCCTCGCTCATCCTCTCCCTCGGCCTCCCCACCACCTCCTACTCCGCAACCTCCGCCTCCCCTGCCCCCGACTCTTCGCTCGCCTGCCCCGTCAGTCGCGCCCTGTTCTGCGACCTGTGCTGCCACGGCGACGGCTGCTGCTGGACGGACCTTGTGGTGGCGCCGCTGTTCACTGTGCTGGCGTTCGAGGTGGACCACATGGCCTCGGAGGGGCAAGAGGTGGCGCACCGCCTGGGCTACGACGACATCAATGAGTCCATGTGCCGACGTGACATCGTACGGCGCCTGCTGGAGATGCTGGGCGTCGCGGCGGCAGCGGACGCAGGCCAGGCGCATGGGGCCCTGGACGCCATTACTCGCCTGGGCTATGCGCCTGCAGTGGCCACTGACGGCGATGGAGCACCTGCCGGACGCGGCGTCCCTGCCACCTCCAGCGCCTCCGCCAACCCGCGGCTGTCTGACCCCGTGTACGCCGCCGCATTCTGGGCGGATCACGTGTTCGTGAAGACGCACCGCGAGCGCCGCAGCTGGCTGGCGCTCCTCCGCGCCTTCTACCGCGTGTACAGTCTGCAGCTGGTGCTGCTGCACGCAACCATGGCATACGCCTTCGCTCCAGGCTCACTGCGCGCGCTGTCCAGCGCCGTACTGACGCACGCGGTGGTGGCGGCGGTTGAGCGCACCGCCAACTGGTGGCTCAACCGGGGCACACGCGACACGCTGCAGGCGGCCAAGGCCCGGGACAGCTGGGTTAGGGAGCCGGCGCCCGCAAGCAAGGCGGATGAGGGGGATGCGGAGGCCGGCAAGCCCGAGGCCGCCGCCGTCGCGCCTGCGGCCCCACGGCGCAGCCGCCTGTCTGACGGCGGCGCAGTGGAAGAGCGCATGGAGCGTCGTCGGCGTGTGGCGGTGGAGGGCTCTCCCGTGCACAGCGTGTTCGGCTGGCTGGAGTGGGTGGTGGTGGCCGTGGCCATGCTGGCGCTGTTTGCGCTGCAGCATGTGGGTCCAGCGTCGCTGCAGCCCCTGGCCCACAAGTTCTGGCCTCTAGCAGCCGGAGGCTATGTGGCGATGGTGGCAGTGCACGGGCTGCTCACCACGCGTGACGGCTACTGCGTGTCGCTCAGCAGTGCGCTGCGGCTGCCGGCGTTCTGCCGCGCCTCCTCGCAGCGCCCCACGGCTGGCTGCTGGCTGGAGCAGCCCATGGCGGTGGGGTGGCGCGCCGCTCTGCTGACGACGCTGTTCTGGATGCAGGTGCTGGGGGCCAAGCTTGCCTTCGACTACTTCGTTATCATGAAGCCCATGGCTGGGCAGGTGCGCCTGATCCTGCATCGCAACTGGCTGGGCTGCTCGGGCCACTACCGGCTGTTCGGTGCGGAGCTGCCGCTCCGTTGCCTGGACGGCGATTTCCTTTTGGTGATGCTGCGTGTGGCGCCCTTCGTGCTGGTCAGCCTGGTGGACACGCAGATCTTCTATCAGATGGTGCTTATGGTGTGGGGCGTCGTCCACGGACTCGTGTCCCTCAACTTGGGCGTGGCGGGCTCGTGGGAGGCGCTGCGGGCGGAGTTCCACCGTGCACCGCTCAGGTGGTGGGCGCGCTGCATGAGCCCCGCAGCCAACGAAGCAGCTAGGGCAGCAGCTGCGGCACACCGCGTAAAACGTGATGCAGGTGTTGGCATCACCTGCGGCACCGGTGGGGCCTGCTCCGACGACGAGGAGGATGAGGAGTACGGCAGTGTCTATGCCGGGCTCAATGCGGGCATGCGCTCCTCTACCTGCAGCCTTTCCAGCCTAGCAAGCAGCTCCGCTGGTAGCGCCAGCGACTCGCCAAAGCCGCGAGCACGGCGGGTGGCGGCGTTGGGCCCATATGCTCCCTCTGCGGCAGCGAACTCCAGCGGCGATGGCGATTCTTCCTCCGTCTCCTCCGCTTCCACGGGCAGCAGCAAGAGCAAGGGCAAGCTGCGGGGTTCTCGTGCCCGTGACGCCGCGGCAGCCGCTGAGCTGGTCGCCATGCTATCGGGTCAGGGCGATGAGCAGCTGGCACAGTGGATGGCATTCGCTGCGGCCTGGGACGCGGTGGTAGAGGACCTGCGAGCCTGCGACCTCATTAGCGACCGGGAGAAGTCCAACTTGCTCTTCACGCGCTTGCCTGCCGCAGCCACCGCAATGGTCGCAGCCACCTCCAAGCCCGATGCGCCATCCGTCAGCGGCGGAAGCTCCTCCGGCGGCTCCTTCACCACCGGCGCCGCCTCGACCTCCTCCGCCTCCGCCCGACCGCTGCGGCCACTGCTGCTGCCCGCCTTCTTCTACGCAGGCAAGGTGCAGGCCGTGGTGGACTCGGGCTCCGCCAGCCCCTCGCAGGAGCTGGTGCTGGGTGAGCTGCGTGCGCTGCTGGTGTGGCTGGGATGCCAGCTTGGGCTGCTGGACGGGACGCAGGCGGCGACCATGCTGGCGGCAGTTTGCTGTCCGTCCACGATCGACGTGGCGCATGCTCGCAGCCGTGAGAAGGGGCTGACGGCGCTGCGGCGGCTGTTGGCGTCAATGCAGGCGCTTAACGGGCCGGTGGCGGCGTCTATGTCAGATGCGGACCTATCTCAGTGGCGCCAGTCGCGTCTTGCAGATGCGAAGGCGGCCCTGGATGAGGTTCTGGTGGCGGCGGAGGTTGAGGCACGCGCCGTGGTGCGGGCGCAGCTGGGTGTTTCCAAGAAGGGCGGCAAGAAGGCGGACAAGACGGTGCAGAGCGAGCAGCAGCAGCAGCAGGGGCCGGACGCTGGCCATGAGGATGTTGCGGTTGCAGACCCGCAGGCGGCTGCTTCGGCGCTGCTGGAGGTATTGGCGTCGCTGCGCACCAGCCTGTCCAAGCAGCCCGAGCGGCTGATGGCGGCGTTGATGCTGCTGCACCCCGAGGGTTGCCAAGCCGCTGCATCCCCTGTGGAGCTGTCGCTGGTGCGCCGCGTGCTGTCTACTGCCGTTAAAATGGTGAACCTAAGCAGCGCGGCGGCACAGCCGACCGGCGCCGAAGCCCGCCGCATCCTGGGCTTCTTCGTCACCTCCCTCGCCAATCGCCAGTTGGGCAAGCCGGCGCCCGTGGCAGCCATGACCTCTTGGACAGTGCTTACGCCCATGTACGCGGAGGACGTGCTGTTCCCGCTGGAGGCGCGCACGGCGGCTGAGGCGGTGGGGCTGGATGTCAGCGGCAAGGGCGACCTGTCCTCCGCGCTGCCCGACCTGCTCACGGAGACAGAGGAGCGTGTGTCGTTGATGTCGTACATCCGCTCCATGTTCCCCAAGGACTGGGACAACTTCAAGGAGCGTCTGGGCGCCAGCCTGGGTGGCCTGGACCTACGCAACGTCACGGAGGCGGACTTCGCGGAGGGCGGCGCGCTGGCGGAGCATGCGTTGGCGCTGCAGCTGTGGGCCTCCTACCGTGGCCAGCTGCTGGCGCGCACCGTGCGCGGCATGGCGGCGTATGAGCGCGCCCTGCGGGTGCTTGCGGCGCTGGACAGCCCGCGCCCTGCGGGGGTGAGCCGGCGGGAGCACGCGGCGGCGGTGGAGGACGTGGTGGGCGCCAAGTTCACGCACGTGGTGGCCAGCCAGCTGTACGGCAAGAACCGCCGCTCCACCAACCTGCGCGACCGCTGGCAGGTGGAGAGCACGGACGTCCTGCTGGAGGCGTTCCCGCACTTGCGTGTGTCATACTTGGACGAGGTGGCGGAGGCGCTCAAGATGCGCAACCTGCTGAAGGAGCTGTCGCCCGAGCTGGACACGCGGGCGGCCAGGAGGGCTGCGGATGCGCTGCAACAGGCGGTCAAGGGGACCTCGCTGCCCCCTGCTTCTGAGATGAAGCGGCTGCTGGGTGGTCTGCGCAGTACGGAGCGGCCCGTTGCGGTGGTGGGCTTCCGCGAGTGGGTGTTCAGCGACAAGGCGGGTGCGCTGGGCAGCTTCGCCGCCAGCAGTGAGTTCGCGTTCTCCACCATGGTGCAGCGGACCATGGCCTACCCCGCCAACGTGCGCCTGCACTACGGACACCCGGACGCCTTCAACAAGCTCTTCGTCATGACCAGGGTGAGCCAGACGGGTGGGCAGGGCTGCTGCAGACGGTGCAGTGAGCAGGGTACAGAAGCGGGATGGGATGCGCCCCCTGGTTAGCAGGAGTCATGTATGTTGTCGCCATGATATGGCCCAAAGAAGGACCCGCCAAGCCAGTCCTCCCTGTTCTCCTGCTGAGCGCCCGCAACTCCCTTCCCCACTCCCTACAGGGCGGTGTGGCCAAGGCCACTCGGCAGCTGCACGTGTCCGAGGACATCTTCGGCGGCATGAACCACAGTCTGCGCGGCGGCCGCATTAAGTTCCGAGAGTACATCAGCTGCGGCAAGGGCCGCGACATGGGCTTCGACTCCATCAATGCCTTCGAGTCCAAGATCAGCGCGGGCTTTGGCGAGGTGGCACTCAGCCGCGACCTGCTGCGCATGGCCGTGCGAGTGGACCTCTGGCGCTGCCTGCACCTCTACCACTCTCTAGCCGGCAACTACTTCAATACCTGGCTCGTCATGGGCTCAGTGTACGCGCACGTGTTTGCGCTGCTCTTCTTCGCACTCGCACGCGCCGCTGTGTACCACACCGTCGTCTACTGGCCCTCGCCGCCGCCGTCACCTGCCGGCACGCCCGTGGTGGCCAGCGCGGCCTCGCCCCCCGTGGTTCGTGAGACGCTGGCGTACGACACCATCCGTGTAGAGCACGTGCTGCAGCTGGGCCTGCTGACGCTGCTGCCGTACTTGGCGGAGGTGGCGTTGGAGCATGGTCTGGCTCGCGGCCTTCAGGCGACGCTGGCGCAGGTGCTGAGCGGCTCCTTTGCCTTCTTCATCTTCAAGCAGCAGACCACCACCTCCGCGCTGCACTCCTCCATGCTGTACGGCGGCGCTTCCTACGTGGCCACCGGTCGCGGCTTCTCCATCACGTCCTCCTCCTTCATCAAGCTCTTCACCAACTACGGCCGCTCGCACATTGCCCTGGGCTTCGAGCTGGCGGCCATGGCGGTGGCGGTGGCGGCCACCAACGAGTGCGCGGCGTGCTCATATGGCGGCCTCACGTGGGGCACCTGGCTTGCGGGGCTGTCGCTGGTGCTGGCGCCCTGCTGGTTCAACCCCATGGCCTTCTCGCCCGGCAAGGTCAAGCGGGACATGCATGCATGGGCTGCGTGGCTGCGTGGCGAGGCGGACAGTGAGCTGGGCTGCACCTGGCACCAGTGGAACCGCCGCCTGCTGGCGCACTCGCGCAACGAGAACGGCACGCAGACGGACCGGTGGGGCAACGTGATGCAGAGTGTTGCGTTGCGCGCCGTGCCGCCCGCGCTGCTGGCCCTGGCCGCCGCTTCACGCCTCACGCTGAGTCTGGACAAGCTGACGGTGCTGCCTGGAGCCCTGCGCAGCAGCTGGATGGTGTTCCTGGTCGCCAGCGCGCTGCTGTGGGGCGGCATGGCGGCGGCCCTGAGCGCGTCTCGCCGCTTCAGTGAGCTGTCTGACCAGCGGCGGTGGCGTCTGTGGGCGTTCTGGGTGCTGGTGTCCGGCGTGGTGGGCTCGCTGGCGTTCCTGGTGGGCCTGTCCAGCTGGTACTCGGGCAACGGGCTGTCCAACCTGTGCCTCATCCTCTACGCCAACATCAACCTGCTGCTGGCGGTGCACCGCACCCTCGAGTACGTGGCTCCGCGCTCTCGTGGCGCGCGGCGGCTGGTGGACGGCGGCTACTTGGTGCTGGACTCGGTGGTTGGCTGGACCGTGCTGGGATTGCTGGGCGCGATGAGCCTGGTGGGGGTGGTGGGGCGCGTGCAGACCACAATGCTCTTCAACGTCACCTTTGCGCGCTCCGTGCGCCGAGGCAGCCTGGTCAAGACCATCGGCACGACCAAGGCAGAGCGCGGGCAGCAGGGGGCGCTGCTGGGGCTGGTGGTGGAAGCGGATGCGGTCAGCGAGGCCGGCGACGGGCGGGCCGGCAGCATGGCCAAGGGCAAGACGTCCAGGATGGCATTGCAGGCGTGTTAGGCAGGGATTCGGGTGTAGCTTACTAGCAATTGTTTCATCAGTATTGATTTGTAGCCGGTCGTACATCCCAAGCGAGCGCTGGAGAGACTAGCAAGTGCAGCGCAGTCCATGACATTTATACCATGTATATGCTATGCAGGCGCAGTGATGTTAGTTATGCGTGCAACGGGTGATCGCCGTGTACAGTAGTAACCCTACGAATTGAAGGGGTGTACCGAGGCTTACAGAAGGCGAGAGGTACCTTCAAGAGGCACGGTGGTTGTAAGCTCTGTCTAATTGTAGCATCCGCAATGGACGTCCGTATGCGACTGATGGCATGTGCTGTACACATGCACGTCATACTTTTTATTATTCTGCTGCAACTCCTGATGCCACTGAAAGTTTAGGAACCTTTATGCCCATCCGGGAGAAAGAGTGCTGTTTGAATCGCCATGCAAGCGCCGATGGCTTAGCCGTGCTCCATGTAAAAGCCAGCCTTAACACTGCGAATTTGGGCCCTCGCCCCGGCGTCCGTTCATTGCACCCACATGTTGCGCCAGCAGCCTCCAATTCTTGCAAGCCTGATGCATTTTAGCTAACCCCGAACGATCCTCTGCGATCAGTCCTGGTGGCCTCGTCGTTGAGGGCTTACAATCAACAAGGCAAAAAGTGACCCATGGACCCGTGGCGGGATGGACGGACGCGAGGTTCACAGCATGTGCCAGTATGTTGTTTCCTGCCAAGCGCAGATTAATCCCCTAGGACGTCTAACTCCGTTTCCAGTTGGCGACGGCAAGTAGTCATGCAAATACCACTCGAGTGCATCTATGCCATTGTTCCCAAACGTTTGCAACATGTGGGAGTAAGCCTTTAATCAAACGTTTATCTGCCTTTATGGGGATAGCCATGCTACCGGATCAACTCTTCTCAACTGACAACCCTGCAAGCTGCTGGGCACGAGTCCGCATGCAACTTGCGCAAGTTGGGCCTGATCCCGGTAGCTTTAATATAGCGGTCAGCGCAAAGAATAGTACGCACATACTACAGGGTAATCTGAATCTTATATCCTTTACTATGCATTCTTTGACGCGAACAGCAATGGTGTCGTACGAAGTTGGAAGGTCGGCTCAGACATGACGTCTTGCTTGCAGTGACAGTCCTGTCTATACGTGACCACCAGGCTCTCTCCTTACATACTTAACACGCCAACATGGCATCCTTACCAACAGTACATGCATCCTGCAAGAATACACAACTGAACCTCCTAGGTAGAATATCCAGCTATTTATCAACGAGTTTAGTCCCGAAATTAAGATACAGACTATCTATTAGAGGACGTTCCTTGCGATTCTGCGATCATCCAAGTTGACCGACGACCTGCGAGCGCAACATTTACTTTACGGCCACAGCCTATTACTCAACTGTGGAGGACCGCATCCTTCGATTTATTAAGTAGGTTGTCTCATATACTGCGTTGCCGAGTTATGTAGTATGGGCACAGGTTGGGAAGCAGCTGTCGTTTTGACGCCAACTGTCGATTGCCATGCCAACGTACTCATCGCTTGCCTGTCTGGTTACTACTCGTCAATTGTAACAGCTACGTATAACAATGTGACCCGGTGACCACCCTTAATTTGGTCGCAGGCAAACTTCTCTGCACGCCAGTTACAAGATGGAGACCTGCCGTACGGACAGTCCGGTTGCTGATGAGCTTCTTATCGAGCCAGCTACGTGCATCGCGCACGAACGTTCGAGTAACCAACGTGCCCAGCCTCCCGCTGCCCTTGCTCGCCGCCCGCTGTGCGACCGCATCCAAAATACTAGCTGGGTGGTGGCGCGCACGTTCGGCTTCCAGGCCTTCAACTCCCGCGTCCCGGCCTCCGGCCCCTGCCAGCAGCCTTCCTGTGCGGCCCAATGGGTTCCCGCCACAGCCCTGCTTGCCGGCGATCACCTAGAGGCGCTGCTGGTGCGTAACTTCATGCCCCGCATACTCATGGAGGCTGACGGAGGTGGAGGGGACACAGCACCGAGCAGCGGCAACAGCAACGCCGTTAGCGGTGAGGGTGAGGGCTGCAAGGGAGGGCAGCAGATGAAAGAGGACGCCACTGAATCCCAGCTGCAGCAGCGTCAAGAGGCGGCGTTCGCGCGAGCCGTGTGGGAGCTACACTCGCAGATCTTCTTGCCGTATGAGGGCTCGGCGGGCTGGTGCCGGCAGGTTGGGCTGGCTGCCCGGCCCGCTGCTGTTGCTTCTGAGCTGTTGGGCGCTCAGGGCGGTGCGGATCCGCGCGTGCTGCACCTGCTGCTGAGCGAGCTGGCGCTGTACTTCCTGATCTACAGCGAGGCCGCCAACCTGCGCCACACGCCCGAGCTGACGTGGTTCCTGTTCTGGGCCGCTAACAACAGCCCGGCCATGGAGCGGCTGGTGCGGGAGGGGCTGCAGCCGGAGCAGCAGATGAACAATGCGCGGGAGCGGCGTCTGGCCATGCGAAACACTTTGCAGGTGGGCTGCGGAAGAAGAACCTGGGGGAAGGGGCTCCATTTAAACTTCGCTTTCTTGGCAGTGAACGCCTGCCAGCATTAACCCGAGCCTCGACCCCTGACTCCAACCTGTCTGTTCTCCTCCCCGTTTCGCAGTCTCATCTTTGCGCCGTACAGCAGCATCTGGGCCACGACCCCACCGCCTGCCGCCCCGAGCACAACACCGAGGTCGCCGCCAGCCTTGCCGCCCAGCTGCCCTCGCTCATCCTCTCCCTCGGCCTCCCCACCACCTCCTACTCCGCAACCTCCGCCTCCCCTGCCCCCGACTCTTCGCTCGCCTGCCCCGTCAGTCGCGCCCTGTTCTGCGACCTGTGCTGCCACGGCGACGGCTGCTGCTGGACGGACCTTGTGGTGGCGCCGCTGTTCACTGTGCTGGCGTTCGAGGTGGACCACATGGCCTCGGAGGGGCAAGAGGTGGCGCACCGCCTGGGCTACGACGACATCAATGAGTCCATGTGCCGACGTGACATCGTACGGCGCCTGCTGGAGATGCTGGGCGTCGCGGCGGCAGCGGACGCAGGCCAGGCGCATGGGGCCCTGGACGCCATTACTCGCCTGGGCTATGCGCCTGCAGTGGCCACTGACGGCGATGGAGCACCTGCCGGACGCGGCGTCCCTGCCACCTCCAGCGCCTCCGCCAACCCGCGGCTGTCTGACCCCGTGTACGCCGCCGCATTCTGGGCGGATCACGTGTTCGTGAAGACGCACCGCGAGCGCCGCAGCTGGCTGGCGCTCCTCCGCGCCTTCTACCGCGTGTACAGTCTGCAGCTGGTGCTGCTGCACGCAACCATGGCATACGCCTTCGCTCCAGGCTCGCTGCGCGCGCTGTCCAGCGCCGTACTGACGCACGCGGTGGTGGCGGCGGTTGAGCGCACCGCCAACTGGTGGCTCAACCGGGGAACACGCGACACGCTGCAGGCGGCCAAGGCCCGGGACAGCTGGGTTAGGGAGCCGGCGCCCGCAAGCAAGGCGGATGAGGGGGATGCGGAGGCCGGCAAGCCCGAGGCCGCCGCCGTCGCGCCTGCGGCCCCACGGCGCAGCCGCCTGTCTGACGGCGGCGCAGTGGAAGAGCGCATGGAGCGTCGTCGGCGTGTGGCGGTGGAGGGCTCTCCCGTGCACAGCGTGTTCGGCTGGCTGGAGTGGGTGGTGGTGGCCGTGGCCATGCTGGCGCTGTTTGCGCTGCAGCATGTGGGTCCAGCGTCGCTGCAGCCCCTGGCCCACAAGTTCTGGCCTCTAGCAGCCGGAGGCTATGTGGCGATGGTGGCAGTGCACGGGCTGCTCACCACGCGTGACGGCTACTGCGTGTCGCTCAGCAGTGCGCTGCGGCTGCCGGCGTTCTGCCGCGCCTCCTCGCAGCGCCCCACGGCTGGCTGCTGGCTGGAGCAGCCCATGGCGGTGGGGTGGCGCGCCGCTCTGCTGACGACGCTGTTCTGGATGCAGGTGCTGGGGGCCAAGCTTGCCTTCGACTACTTCGTTATCATGAAGCCCATGGCTGGGCAGGTGCGCCTGATCCTGCATCGCAACTGGCTGGGCTGCTCGGGCCACTACCGGCTGTTCGGTGCGGAGCTGCCGCTCCGTTGCCTGGACGGCGATTTCCTTTTGGTGATGCTGCGTGTGGCGCCCTTCGTGCTGGTCAGCCTGGTGGACACGCAGATCTTCTATCAGATGGTGCTTATGGTGTGGGGCGTCGTCCACGGACTCGTGTCCCTCAACTTGGGCGTGGCGGGCTCGTGGGAGGCGCTGCGGGCGGAGTTCCACCGTGCACCGCTCAGGTGGTGGGCGCGCTGCATGAGCCCCGCAGCCAACGAAGCAGCTAGGGCAGCAGCTGCGGCACACCGCGTAAAACGTGATGCAGGTGTTGGCATCACCTGCGGCGCCGGTGGGGCCTGCTCCGACGACGAGGAGGATGAGGAGTACGGCAGTGTCTATGCCGGGCTCAATGCGGGCATGCGCTCCTCTACCTGCAGCCTTTCCAGCCTAGCAAGCAGCTCCGCTGGTAGCGCCAGCGACTCGCCAAAGCCGCGAGCACGGCGGGTGGCGGCGTTGGGCCCATATGCTCCCTCTGCGGCAGCGAACTCCAGCGGCGATGGCGATTCTTCCTCCGTCTCCTCCGCTTCCACGGGCAGCAGCAAGAGCAAGGGCAAGCTGCGGGGTTCTCGTGCCCGTGACGCCGCGGCAGCCGCTGAGCTGGTCGCCATGCTATCGGGTCAGGGCGATGAGCAGCTGGCACAGTGGATGGCATTCGCTGCGGCCTGGGACGCGGTGGTAGAGGACCTGCGAGCCTGCGACCTCATTAGCGACCGGGAGAAGTCCAACTTGCTCTTCACGCGCTTGCCTGCCGCAGCCACCGCAATGGTCGCAGCCACCTCCAAGCCCGATGCGCCATCCGTCAGCGGCGGAAGCTCCTCCGGCGGCTCCTTCACCACCGGCGCCGCCTCGACCTCCTCCGCCTCCGCCCGACCGCTGCGGCCACTGCTGCTGCCCGCCTTCTTCTACGCAGGCAAGGTGCAGGCCGTGGTGGACTCGGGCTCCGCCAGCCCCTCGCAGGAGCTGGTGCTGGGTGAGCTGCGTGCGCTGCTGGTGTGGCTGGGATGCCAGCTTGGGCTGCTGGACGGGACGCAGGCGGCGACCATGCTGGCGGCAGTTTGCTGTCCGTCCACGATCGACGTGGCGCATGCTCGCAGCCGTGAGAAGGGGCTGACGGCGCTGCGGCGGCTGTTGGCGTCAATGCAGGCGCTTAACGGGCCGGTGGCGGCGTCTATGTCAGATGCGGACCTATCTCAGTGGCGCCAGTCGCGTCTTGCAGATGCGAAGGCGGCCCTGGATGAGGTTCTGGCGGCGGCGGAGGTTGAGGCACGCGCCGTGGTGCGGGCGCAGCTGGGTGTTTCCAAGAAGGGCGGCAAGAAGGCGGACAAGACGGTGCAGAGCGAGCAGCAGCAGCAGCAGGGGCCGGACGCTGGCCATGAGGATGTTGCGGTTGCAGACCCGCAGGCGGCTGCTTCGGCGCTGCTGGAGGTATTGGCGTCGCTGCGCACCAGCCTGTCCAAGCAGCCCGAGCGGCTGATGGCGGCGTTGATGCTGCTGCACCCCGAGGGTTGCCAAGCCGCTGCATCCCCTGTGGAGCTGTCGCTGGTGCGCCGCGTGCTGTCTACTGCCGTTAAAATGGTGAACCTAAGCAGCGCGGCGGCACAGCCGACCGGCGCCGAAGCCCGCCGCATCCTGGGCTTCTTCGTCACCTCCCTCGCCAACCGCCAGTTGGGCAAGCCGGCGCCCGTGGCAGCCATGACCTCTTGGACGGTGCTTACGCCCATGTACGCGGAGGACGTGCTGTTCCCGCTGGAGGCGCGCACGGCGGCTGAGGCGGTGGGGCTGGATGTCAGCGGCAAGGGCGACCTGTCCTCCGCGCTGCCCGACCTGCTCACGGAGACAGAGGAGCGTGTGTCGTTGATGTCGTACATCCGCTCCATGTTCCCCAAGGACTGGGACAACTTCAAGGAGCGTCTGGGCGCCAGCCTGGGTGGCCTGGACCTACGCAACGTCACGGAGGCGGACTTCGCGGAGGGCGGCGCGCTGGCGGAGCATGCGTTGGCGCTGCAGCTGTGGGCCTCCTACCGTGGCCAGCTGCTGGCGCGCACCGTGCGCGGCATGGCGGCGTATGAGCGCGCCCTGCGGGTGCTTGCGGCGCTGGACAGCCCGCGCCCTGCGGGGGTGAGCCGGCGGGAGCACGCGGCGGCGGTGGAGGACGTGGTGGGCGCCAAGTTCACGCACGTGGTGGCCAGCCAGCTGTACGGCAAGAACCGCCGCTCCACCAACCTGCGCGACCGCTGGCAGGTGGAGAGCACGGACGTCCTGCTGGAGGCGTTCCCGCACTTGCGTGTGTCATACTTGGACGAGGTTTCGGCGGCGGAGGTGGAGGCGCGCAGGGGCGGTGTCATGGCCCCGAATGCGCCTCCGGAGCACCAGTATGCGGTGCTCATTCGCGGCCGGCAAAGCGGGCATGAGCGCACTGAGGAGCTGTACCGGGTCCGTCTGCCTTACAACCGCTACAGCAAGCGCGGCGTGATCCTGGGCGAGGGCAAGCCCGAGAACCAGAACCACGCGGCCATCTTCTGCTTCGGTGAGGCGCTGCAGACCATCGATATGAACCAGGACAACGCGCTGGCGGAGGCGCTCAAGATGCGCAACCTGCTGAAGGAGCTGTCGCCCGAGCTGGACACGCGGGCGGCCAGGAGGGCTGCGGATGCGCTGCAACAGGCGGTCAAGGGGACCTCGCTGCCCCCTGCTTCTGAGATGAAGCGGCTGCTGGGTGGTCTGCGCAGTACGGAGCGGCCCGTTGCGGTGGTGGGCTTCCGCGAGTGGGTGTTCAGCGACAAGGCGGGTGCGCTGGGCAGCTTCGCCGCCAGCAGTGAGTTCGCGTTCTCCACCATGGTGCAGCGGACCATGGCCTACCCCGCCAACGTGCGCCTGCACTACGGACACCCGGACGCCTTCAACAAGCTCTTCGTCATGACCAGGGTGAGCCAGACGGGTGGGCAGGGCTGCTGCAGACGGTGCAGTGAGCAGGGTACAGAAGCGGGATGGGATGCGCCCCCTGGTTAGCAGGAGTCATGTATGTTGTCGCCATGATATGGCCCAAAGAAGGACCCGCCAAGCCAGTCCTCCCTGTTCTCCTGCTGAGCGCCCGCAACTCCCTTCCCCACTCCCTACAGGGCGGTGTGGCCAAGGCCACTCGGCAGCTGCACGTGTCCGAGGACATCTTCGGCGGCATGAACCACAGTCTGCGCGGCGGCCGCATTAAGTTCCGAGAGTACATCAGCTGCGGCAAGGGCCGCGACATGGGCTTCGACTCCATCAATGCCTTCGAGTCCAAGATCAGCGCGGGCTTTGGCGAGGTGGCACTCAGCCGCGACCTGCTGCGCATGGCCGTGCGAGTGGACCTCTGGCGCTGCCTGCACCTCTACCACTCTCTAGCCGGCAACTACTTCAATACCTGGCTCGTCATGGGCTCAGTGTACGCGCACGTGTTTGCGCTGCTCTTCTTCGCACTCGCACGCGCCGCTGTGTACCACACCGTCGTCTACTGGCCCTCGCCGCCGCCGTCACCTGCCGGCACGCCCGTGGTGGCCAGCGCGGCCTCGCCCCCCGTGGTTCGTGAGACGCTGGCGTACGACACCATCCGTGTAGAGCACGTGCTGCAGCTGGGCCTGCTGACGCTGCTGCCGTACTTGGCGGAGGTGGCGTTGGAGCATGGTCTGGCTCGCGGCCTTCAGGCGACGCTGGCGCAGGTGCTGAGCGGCTCCTTTGCCTTCTTCATCTTCAAGCAGCAGACCACCACCTCCGCGCTGCACTCCTCCATGCTGTACGGCGGCGCTTCCTACGTGGCCACCGGTCGCGGCTTCTCCATCACGTCCTCCTCCTTCATCAAGCTCTTCACCAACTACGGCCGCTCGCACATTGCCCTGGGCTTCGAGCTGGCGGCCATGGCGGTGGCGGTGGCGGCCACCAACGAGTGCGCGGCGTGCTCATATGGCGGCCTCACGTGGGGCACCTGGCTTGCGGGGCTGTCGCTGGTGCTGGCGCCCTGCTGGTTCAACCCCATGGCCTTCTCGCCCGGCAAGGTCAAGCGGGACATGCATGCATGGGCTGCGTGGCTGCGTGGCGAGGCGGACAGTGAGCTGGGCTGCACCTGGCACCAGTGGAACCGCCGCCTGCTGGCGCACTCGCGCAACGAGAACGGCACGCAGACGGACCGGTGGGGCAACGTGATGCAGAGTGTTGCGTTGCGCGCCGTGCCGCCCGCGCTGCTGGCCCTGGCCGCCGCTTCACGCCTCACGCTGAGTCTGGACAAGCTGACGGTGCTGCCTGGAGCCCTGCGCAGCAGCTGGATGGTGTTCCTGGTCGCCAGCGCGCTGCTGTGGGGCGGCATGGCGGCGGCCCTGAGCGCGTCTCGCCGCTTCAGTGAGCTGTCTGACCAGCGGCGGTGGCGTCTGTGGGCGTTCTGGGTGCTGGTGTCCGGCGTGGTGGGCTCGCTGGCGTTCCTGGTGGGCCTGTCCAGCTGGTACTCGGGCAACGGGCTGTCCAACCTGTGCCTCATCCTCTACGCCAACATCAACCTGCTGCTGGCGGTGCACCGCACCCTCGAGTACGTGGCTCCGCGCTCTCGTGGCGCGCGGCGGCTGGTGGACGGCGGCTACTTGGTGCTGGACTCGGTGGTTGGCTGGACCGTGCTGGGATTGCTGGGCGCGATGAGCCTGGTGGGGGTGGTGGGGCGCGTGCAGACCACAATGCTCTTCAACGTCACCTTTGCGCGCTCCGTGCGCCGAGGCAGCCTGGTCAAGACCATCGGCACGACCAAGGCAGAGCGCGGGCAGCAGGGGGCGCTGCTGGGGCTGGTGGTGGAAGCGGATGCGGTCAGCGAGGCCGGCGACGGGCGGGCCGGCAGCATGGCCAAGGGCAAGACGTCCAGGATGGCATTGCAGGCGTGTTAGGCAGGGATTCGGGTGTAGCTTACTAGCAATTGTTTCATCAGTATTGATTTGTAGCCGGTCGTACATCCCAAGCGAGCGCTGGAGAGACTAGCAAGTGCAGCGCAGTCCATGACATTTATACCATGTATATGCTATGCAGGCGCAGTGATGTTAGTTATGCGTGCAACGGGTGATCGCCGTGTACAGTAGTAACCCTACGAATTGAAGGGGTGTACCGAGGCTTACAGAAGGCGAGAGGTACCTTCAAGAGGCACGGTGGTTGTAAGCTCTGTCTAATTGTAGCATCCGCAATGGACGTCCGTATGCGACTGATGGCATGTGCTGTACACATGCACGTCATACTTTTTATTATTCTGCTGCAACTCCTGATGCCACTGAAAGTTTAGGAACCTTTATGCCCATCCGGGAGAAAGAGTGCTGTTTGAATCGCCATGCAAGCGCCGATGGCTTAGCCGTGCTCCATGTAAAAGCCAGCCTTAACACTGCGAGTTTGGGCCCTCGCCCCGGCGTCCGTTCATTGCACCCACATGTTGCGCCAGCAGCCTCCAATTCTTGCAAGCCTGATGCATTTTAGCTAACCCCGAACGATCCTCTGCGATCAGTCCTGGTGGCCTCGTCGTTGAGGGCTTACAATCAACAAGGCAAAAAGTGACCCATGGACCCGTGGCGGGATGGACGGACGCGAGGTTCACAGCATGTGCCAGTATGTTGTTTCCTGCCAAGCGCAGATTAATCCCCTAGGACGTCTAACTCCGTTTCCAGTTGGCGACGGCAAGTAGTCATGCAAATACCACTCGAGTGCATCTATGCCATTGTTCCCAAACGTTTGCAACATGTGGGAGTAAGCCTTTAATCAAACGTTTATCTGCCTTTATGGGGATAGCCATGCTACCGGATCAACTCTTCTCAACTGACAACCCTGCAAGCTGCTGGGCACGAGTCCGCATGCAACTTGCGCAAGTTGGGCCTGATCCCGGTAGCTTTAATATAGCGGTCAGCGCAAAGAATAGTACGCACATACTACAGGGTAATCTGAATCTTATATCCTTTACTATGCATTCTTTGACGCGAACAGCAATGGTGTCGTACGAAGTTGGAAGGTCGGCTCAGACATGACGTCTTGCTTGCAGTGACAGTCCTGTCTATACGTGACCACCAGGCTCTCTCCTTACATACTTAACACGCCAACATGGCATCCTTACCAACAGTACATGCATCCTGCAAGAATACACAACTGAACCTCCTAGGTAGAATATCCAGCTATTTATCAACGAGTTTAGTCCCGAGATTAAGATACAGACTATCTATTAGAGGACGTTCCTTGCGATTCTGCGATCATCCAAGTTGACCGACGACCTGCGAGCGCAACATTTACTTTACGGCCACAGCCTATTACTCAACTGTGGAGGACCGCATCCTTCGATTTATTAAGTAGGTTGTCTCATATACTGCGTTGCCGAGTTATGTAGTATGGGCACAGGTTGGGAAGCAGCTGTCGTTTTGACGCCAACTGTCGATTGCCATGCCAACGTACTCATCGCTTGCCTGTCTGGTTACTACTCGTCAATTGTAACAGCTACGTATAACAATGTGACCCGGTGACCACCCTTAATTTGGTCGCAGGCAAACTTCTCTGCACGCCAGTTACAAGATGGAGACCTGCCGTACGGACAGTCCGGTTGCTGATGAGCTTCTTATCGAGCCAGCTACGTGCATCGCGCACGAACGTTCGAGTAACCAACGTGCCCAGCCTCCCGCTGCCCTTGCTCGCCGCCCGCTGTGCGACCGCATCCAAAATACTAGCTGGGTGGTGGCGCGCACGTTCGGCTTCCAGGCCTTCAACTCCCGCGTCCCGGCCTCCGGCCCCTGCCAGCAGCCTTCCTGTGCGGCCCAATGGGTTCCCGCCACAGCCCTGCTTGCCGGCAATCACCTAGAGGCGCTGCTGGTGCGTAACTTCATGCCCCGCATACTCATGGAGGCTGACGGAGGTGGAGGGGACACAGCACCGAGCAGCGGCAACAGCAACGCCGTTAGCGGTGAGGGTGAGGGCTGCAAGGGAGGGCAGCAGATGAAAGAGGACGCCACTGAATCCCAGCTGCAGCAGCGTCAAGAGGCGGCGTTCGCGCGAGCCGTGTGGGAGCTACACTCGCAGATCTTCTTGCCGTATGAGGGCTCGGCGGGCTGGTGCCGGCAGGTTGGGCTGGCTGCCCGGCCCGCTGCTGTTGCTTCTGAGCTGTTGGGCGCTCAGGGCGGTGCGGATCCGCGCGTGCTGCACCTGCTGCTGAGCGAGCTGGCGCTGTACTTCCTGATCTACAGCGAGGCCGCCAACCTGCGCCACACGCCCGAGCTGACGTGGTTCCTGTTCTGGGCCGCTAACAACAGCCCGGCCATGGAGCGGCTGGTGCGGGAGGGGCTGCAGCCGGAGCAGCAGATGAACAATGCGCGGGAGCGGCGTCTGGCCATGCGAAACACTTTGCAGGTGGGCTGCGGAAGAAGAACCTGGGGGAAGGGGCTCCATTTAAACTTCGCTTTCTTGGCAGTGAACGCCTGCCAGCATTAACCCGAGCCTCGACCCCTGACTCCAACCTGTCTGTTCTCCTCCCCGTTTCGCAGTCTCATCTTTGCGCCGTACAGCAGCATCTGGGCCACGACCCCACCGCCTGCCGCCCCGAGCACAACACCGAGGTCGCCGCCAGCCTTGCCGCCCAGCTGCCCTCGCTCATCCTCTCCCTCGGCCTCCCCACCACCTCCTACTCCGCAACCTCCGCCTCCCCTGCCCCCGACTCTTCGCTCGCCTGCCCCGTCAGTCGCGCCCTGTTCTGCGACCTGTGCTGCCACGGCGACGGCTGCTGCTGGACGGACCTTGTGGTGGCGCCGCTGTTCACTGTGCTGGCGTTCGAGGTGGACCACATGGCCTCGGAGGGGCAAGAGGTGGCGCACCGCCTGGGCTACGACGACATCAATGAGTCCATGTGCCGACGTGACATCGTACGGCGCCTGCTGGAGATGCTGGGCGTCGCGGCGGCAGCGGACGCAGGCCAGGCGCATGGGGCCCTGGACGCCATTACTCGCCTGGGCTATGCGCCTGCAGTGGCCACTGACGGCGATGGAGCACCTGCCGGACGCGGCGTCCCTGCCACCTCCAGCGCCTCCGCCAACCCGCGGCTGTCTGACCCCGTGTACGCCGCCGCATTCTGGGCGGATCACGTGTTCGTGAAGACGCACCGCGAGCGCCGCAGCTGGCTGGCGCTCCTCCGCGCCTTCTACCGCGTGTACAGTCTGCAGCTGGTGCTGCTGCACGCAACCATGGCATACGCCTTCGCTCCAGGCTCGCTGCGCGCGCTGTCCAGCGCCGTACTGACGCACGCGGTGGTGGCGGCGGTTGAGCGCACCGCCAACTGGTGGCTCAACCGGGGAACACGCGACACGCTGCAGGCGGCCAAGGCCCGGGACAGCTGGGTTAGGGAGCCGGCGCCCGCAAGCAAGGCGGATGAGGGGGATGCGGAGGCCGGCAAGCCCGAGGCCGCCGCCGTCGCGCCTGCGGCCCCACGGCGCAGCCGCCTGTCTGACGGCGGCGCAGTGGAAGAGCGCATGGAGCGTCGTCGGCGTGTGGCGGTGGAGGGCTCTCCCGTGCACAGCGTGTTCGGCTGGCTGGAGTGGGTGGTGGTGGCCGTGGCCATGCTGGCGCTGTTTGCGCTGCAGCATGTGGGTCCAGCGTCGCTGCAGCCCCTGGCCCACAAGTTCTGGCCTCTAGCAGCCGGAGGCTATGTGGCGATGGTGGCAGTGCACGGGCTGCTCACCACGCGTGACGGCTACTGCGTGTCGCTCAGCAGTGCGCTGCGGCTGCCGGCGTTCTGCCGCGCCTCCTCGCAGCGCCCCACGGCTGGCTGCTGGCTGGAGCAGCCCATGGCGGTGGGGTGGCGCGCCGCTCTGCTGACGACGCTGTTCTGGATGCAGGTGCTGGGGGCCAAGCTTGCCTTCGACTACTTCGTTATCATGAAGCCCATGGCTGGGCAGGTGCGCCTGATCCTGCATCGCAACTGGCTGGGCTGCTCGGGCCACTACCGGCTGTTCGGTGCGGAGCTGCCGCTCCGTTGCCTGGACGGCGATTTCCTTTTGGTGATGCTGCGTGTGGCGCCCTTCGTGCTGGTCAGCCTGGTGGACACGCAGATCTTCTATCAGATGGTGCTTATGGTGTGGGGCGTCGTCCACGGACTCGTGTCCCTCAACTTGGGCGTGGCGGGCTCGTGGGAGGCGCTGCGGGCGGAGTTCCACCGTGCACCGCTCAGGTGGTGGGCGCGCTGCATGAGCCCCGCAGCCAACGAAGCAGCTAGGGCAGCAGCTGCGGCACACCGCGTAAAACGTGATGCAGGTGTTGGCATCACCTGCGGCGCCGGTGGGGCCTGCTCCGACGACGAGGAGGATGAGGAGTACGGCAGTGTCTATGCCGGGCTCAATGCGGGCATGCGCTCCTCTACCTGCAGCCTTTCCAGCCTAGCAAGCAGCTCCGCTGGTAGCGCCAGCGACTCGCCAAAGCCGCGAGCACGGCGGGTGGCGGCGTTGGGCCAATATGCTCCCTCTGCGGCAGCGAACTCCAGCGGCGATGGCGATTCTTCCTCCGTCTCCTCCGCTTCCACGGGCAGCAGCAAGAGCAAGGGCAAGCTGCGGGGTTCTCGTGCCCGTGACGCCGCGGCAGCCGCTGAGCTGGTCGCCATGCTATCGGGTCAGGGCGATGAGCAGCTGGCACAGTGGATGGCATTCGCTGCGGCCTGGGACGCGGTGGTAGAGGACCTGCGAGCCTGCGACCTCATTAGCGACCGGGAGAAGTCCAACTTGCTCTTCACGCGCTTGCCTGCCGCAGCCCACCGCAATGGTCGCAGCCACCTCCAAGCCCGATGCGCCATCCGTCAGCGGCGGAAGCTCCTCCGGCGGCTCCTTCACCACCGGCGCCGCCTCGACCTCCTCCGCCTCCGCCCGACCGCTGCGGCCACTGCTGCTGCCCGCCTTCTTCTACGCAGGCAAGGTGCAGGCCGTGGTGGACTCGGGCTCCGCCAGCCCTCGCAGGAGCTGGTGCTGGGTGAGCTGCGTGCGCTGCTGGTGTGGCTGGGATGCCAGCTTGGGCTGCTGGACGGGACGCAGGCGGCGACCATGCTGGCGGCAGTTTGCTGTCCGTCCACGATCGACGTGGCGCATGCTCGCAGCCGTGAGAAGGGGCTGACGGCGCTGCGGCGGCTGTTGGCGTCAATGCAGGCGCTTAACGGGCCGGTGGCGGCGTCTATGTCAGATGCGGACCTATCTCAGTGGCGCCAGTCGCGTCTTGCAGATGCGAAGGCGGCCCTGGATGAGGTTCTGGCGGCGGCGGAGGTTGAGGCACGCGCCGTGGTGCGGGCGCAGCTGGGTGTTTTCCAAGAAGGGCGGCAAGAAGGCGGACAAGACGGTGCAGAGCGAGCAGCAGCAAGCAGCAGGGGCCGGACGCTGGCCATGAGGATGTTGCGGTTGCAGACCCGCAGGCGGCTGCTTCGGCGCTGCTGGAGGTATTGGCCGTCGCTGCGCACCAGCCTGTCCAAGCAGCCCGAGCGGCTGATGGCGGCGTTGATGCTGCTGCACCCCGAGGGTTGCCAAGCCGCTGCATCCCCTGTGGAGCTGTCGCTGGTGCGCACGCGTGCTGTCTACTGCCGTTAAATGGTGACCCTAAGCAGCGCGGCGGCACAGCCGACCGGCGCCGAAGCCCGCCGCATCCTGGGCTTCTTCGTCACCTCCCTCGCCAACCGCCAGTTGGGCAAGCCGGCGCCCGTGGCAGCCATGACCTCTTGGACGGTGCTTACGCCATGTACGCGGAGGACGTGCTGTTCCGCTGGAGGCGCGCACGGCGGCTGAGGCGGTGGGGCTGGATGTCAGCGGCAAGGGCGACCTGTCCTCCGCGCTGCCCGACCTGCTCACGGAGACAGAGGAGCGTGTGTCGTTGATGTCGTACATCCGCTCCATGTTCCCCAAGGACTGGGACAACTTCAAGGAGCGTCTGGGCGCCAGCCTGGGTGGCCTGGACTACCGCAACGTCACGGAGGCGGACTTCGCGGAGGGCGGCGCGCTGGCGGAGCATGCGTTGGCGCTGCAGCTGTGGGCCTCCTACCGTGGCCAGCTGCTGGCGCGCACCGTGCGCGGCATGGCGGCGTATGAGCGCGCCCTGCGGGTGCTTGCGGCGCTGGACAGCCCGCGCCCTGCGGGGGTGAGCCGGCGGGAGCACGCGGCGGCGGTGGAGGACGTGGTGGGCGCCAAGTTCACGCACGTGGTGGCCAGCCAGCTGTACGGCAAGAACCGCCGCTCCACCAACCTGCGCGACCGCTGGCAGGTGGAGAGCACGGACGTCCTGCTGGAGGCGTTCCCGCACTTGCGTGTGTCATACTTGGACGAGGTTTCGGCGGCGGAGGTGGAGGCGCGCAGGGGCGGTGTCATGGCCCGAATGCGCCTCCGGAGCACCAGTATGCGGTGCTCATTCGCGGCCGGCAAAGCGGGCATGAGCGCACTGAGGAGCTGTACCGGGTCCGTCTGCCTTACAACCGCTACAGCAAGCGCGGCGTGATCCTGGGCGAGGGCAAGCCCGAGAACCAGAACCACGCGGCCATCTTCTGCTTCGGTGAGGCGCTGCAGACCATCGATATGAACCAGGACAACGCGCTGGCGGAGGCGCTCAAGATGCGCAACCTGCTGAAGGAGCTGTCGCCCGAGCTGGACACGCGGGCGGCCAGGAGGGCTGCGGATGCGCTGCAACAGGCGGTCAAGGGGACCTCGCTGCCCCCTGCTTCTGAGATGAAGCGGCTGCTGGGTGGTCTGCGCAGTACGGAGCGGCCCGTTGCGGTGGTGGGCTTCCGCGAGTGGGTGTTCAGCGACAAGGCGGGTGCGCTGGGCAGCTTCGCCGCCAGCAGTGAGTTCGCGTTCTCCACCATGGTGCAGCGGACCATGGCCTACCCCGCCAACGTGCGCCTGCACTACGGACACCCGGACGCCTTCAACAAGCTCTTCGTCATGACCAGGGTGAGCCAGACGGGTGGGCAGGGCTGCTGCAGACGGTGCAGTGAGCAGGGTACAGAAGCGGGATGGGATGCGCCCCCTGGTTAGCAGGAGTCATGTATGTTGTCGCCATGATATGGCCCAAAGAAGGACCCGCCAAGCCAGTCCTCCCTGTTCTCCTGCTGAGCGCCCGCAACTCCCTTCCCCACTCCCTACAGGGCGGTGTGGCCAAGGCCACTCGGCAGCTGCACGTGTCCGAGGACATCTTCGGCGGCATGAACCACAGTCTGCGCGGCGGCCGCATTAAGTTCCGAGAGTACATCAGCTGCGGCAAGGGCCGCGACATGGGCTTCGACTCCATCAATGCCTTCGAGTCCAAGATCAGCGCGGGCTTTGGCGAGGTGGCACTCAGCCGCGACCTGCTGCGCATGGCCGTGCGAGTGGACCTCTGGCGCTGCCTGCACCTCTACCACTCTCTAGCCGGCAACTACTTCAATACCTGGCTCGTCATGGGCTCAGTGTACGCGCACGTGTTTGCGCTGCTCTTCTTCGCACTCGCACGCGCCGCTGTGTACCACACCGTCGTCTACTGGCCCTCGCGCCGCCGTCACCTGCCGGCACGCCCGTGGTGCCAGCGCGGCCTCGCCCCCCGTGGTTCGTGAGACGCTTGGCGTACGACACCATCCGTGTAGAGCACGTGCTGCAGCTGGGCCTGCTGACGCTGCTGCCGTACTTGGCGGAGGTGGCGTTGGAGCATGGTCTGGCTCGCGGCCTTCAGGCGACGCTGGCGCAGGTGCTGAGCGGCTCCTTTGCCTTCTTCATCTTCAAGCAGCAGACCACCACCTCCGCGCTGCACTCCTCCATGCTGTACGGCGGCGCTTCCTACGTGGCCACCGGTCGCGGCTCTCCATCACGTCCTCCTCCTTCATCAAGCTCTTCACCAACTACGGCCGCTCGCACATTGCCCTGGGCTTCGAGCTGGCGGCCATGGCGGTGGCGGTGGCGGCCACCAACGAGTGCGCGGCGTGCTCATATGGCGGCTCACGTGGGGCCACTGGCTTGCGGGGGCTGTCGCTGGTGCTGGCGCCCTGCTGGTTCAACCCCATGGCCTTCTCGCCCGGCAAGGTCAAGCGGGACATGCATGCATGGGCTGCGTGGCTGCGTGGCGAGGCGGACAGTGAGCTGGGCTGCACCTGGCACCAGTGGAACCGCCGCCTGCTGGCGCACTCGCGCAACGAGAACGGCACGCAGACGGACCGGTGGGGCACGTGATGCAGAGTGTTGCGTTGCGCGCCGTGCCGCCCGCGCTGCTGGCCCTGGCCGCCCGCTTCACGCCTCACGCTGAGTCTGGCAAGCTGACGGTGCTGCCTGGAGCCCTGCGCAGCAGCTGGATGGTGTTCCTGGTCGCCAGCGCGCTGCTGTGGGGCGGCATGGCGGCGGCCCTGAGCGCGTCTCGCCGCTTCAGTGAGCTGTCTGACCAGCGGCGGTGGCGTCTGTGGGCGTTCTGGGTGCTGGTTGTCCGGCGTGGTGGGCTCGCTGGCGTTCCTGGTGGGCCTGTCCAGCTGGTACTCGGGCAACGGGCTGTCCAACCTGTGCCTCATCCTCTACGCCAACATCAACCTGCTGCTGGCGGTGCACCGCACCCTCGAGTACGTGGCTCCGCGCTCTCGTGGCGCGCGGCGGCTGGTGGACGGCGGCTACTTGGTGCTGACTCGGTGGTTGGCTGGACCGTGCTGGGATGCTGGGCGCGATGAGCCTGGTGGGGGTGGTGGGGCGCGTGCAGACCACAATGCTCTTCAACGTCACCTTGCGCGCTCCGTGCGCCGAGGCAGCCTGGTCAAGACCATCGGCACGACCAAGGCAGAGCGCGGGCAGCAGGGGGCGCTGCTGGGGCTGGTGGTGGAAGCGGATGCGGTCAGCGAGGCCGGCGACGGGCGGGCCGGCAGCATGGCCAAGGGCAAGACGTCCAGGATGGCATTGCAGGCGTGTTAGGCAGGGATTCGGGTGTAGCTTACTAGCAATTGTTTCATCAGTATTGATTTGTAGCCGGTCGTACATCCCCAAGCGAGCGCTGGAGAGACTAGCAAGTGCAGCGCAGTCCATGACATTTATACCATGTATATGCTATGCAGGCGCAGTGATGTTAGTTATGCGTGCAACGGGTGATCGCCGTGTACAGTAGTAACCCTACGAATTGAAGGGGTGTACCGAGGCTTACAGAAGGCGAGAGGTACCTTCAAGAGGCACGGTGGTTGTAAGCTCTGTCTAATTGTAGCATCCGCAATGGACGTCCGTATGCGACTGATGCATGTGCTGTACACATGCACGTCATACTTTTATTATTCTGCTGCAACTCTGATGCCCACTGAAAGTTTAGGAACCTTTATGCCCATCCGGGAGGAAAGAGTGCTGTTTGAATCGCCATGCAAGCGCCGATGGCTTAGCCGTGCTCCATGTAAAAGCCAGCCTTAACACTGCGAATTTGGGCCCTCGCCCCGGCGTCCTTCATTGCACCCACATGTTGCGCCAGCAGCCTCCAATTCTTGCACGCCTGATGCATTTTAGCTAACCCCGAACGATCCTCTGCGATCAGTCCTGGTGGCCTCGTCGTTGAGGGCTTACAATCAACAAGGCAAAAAGTGACCCATGGACCCGTGGCGGGATGGACGGACGCGAGGTTCACAGCATGTGCCAGTATGTGTTTCCTGCCAAGCGGCAGATTAATCCCCTAGGACGTCTAACTCCGTTTCCAGTTGGCGACGGCAAGTAGTCCATGCAAATACCACTCGAGTGCATCTATGCCATTGTTCCCAAACGTTTGCAACGATGTGGGAGTAAGCCTTTAATCAACGTTTATCTGCCTTTATGGGGATAGCCATGCTACCGGATCAACTTCTTCTCAAACTGACAACCCTGCAAGCTGCTGGCACGAGTCCGCATGCCACTTGCGCAAGTTGGGCCTGATCCCGGTAGCTTAATATAGCGGTCAGCGCAAGAATAGTACGCAATACTACAGGGTAATCGAATCTTATATCCTTTACTATGCATTCTTTGACGCGAACAGCAATGGTGTCGTACGAAGTTGGAAGGTCGGCCTCAGACATGAGCTCTGCTTTGCAGTGACAGTCCTGTCTATACGTGACCACCAGGCTCTCTCCTTACATACTTAACACGCCAACATGGCATCCTTACCAACAGTACATGCATCCTGCAAGAATACACAACTGAACCTCCTAGGTAGAATATCCAGCTATTTATCAACGAGTTTAGTCCCGAGATTAAGATACAGGACTATCTATTAGAGGACGTTCCTTGCGATTCTGCGATCATCCAAGTTGACCGACGACCTGCGAGCGCAACATTTACTTTACGGCCACAGCCCTATTACTCAACTGTGGAGGACCGCATCCTTCGATTTATTAAGTAGGTTGTCTCATATACTGCGTTGCCGAGTTATGTAGTATGGGCACAGGTTGGGAAGCAGCTGTCGTTTTGACGCCAACTGTCGATTGCCACTGCCAACGTAATCATCGCTTGCCTGTCTGGTTACTACTCGTCAATTGTAACAGCTACGTATAACCACTGTGACCCGGTGACCACCCTTAATTTGGTCGCAGGCAAACTTCTCTGCACGCCAGTTACAAGATGGAGACCTGCCGTACGGACAGTCCGGTTGCTGATGAGCTTCTTATCGAGCCAGCTACGTGCATCGCGCACGAACGTTCGAGTAACCAACGTGCCAGCCTCCCGCTGCCCTTGCTCGCCGCCCGCTGTGCGACCGCATCCAAAATACTAGCTGGGTGGTGGCGCGCACGTTCGGCTTCCAGGCCTTCAACTCCCGCGTCCCGGCCTCCGGCCCCTGCCAGCAGCCTTCCTGTGCGGCCAATGGGTTCCCGCCACAGCCCTGCTTGCCGGCGATCACCTAGAGGCGCTGCTGGTGCGTAACTTCATGCCCCGCATACTCATGGAGGCTGACGGAGGTGGAGGGGACACAGCACCGAGCAGCGGCAACAGCAACGCCGTTAGCGGTGAGGGTGAGGGCTGCAAGGGAGGGCAGCAGACTGAAAGAGGACGCCACTGAATCCCAGCTGCAGCCAGCGTCAAGATGGCGGCGTTCGCGCGAGCCGTGTGGGAGCTACACTCGAAGATCTTCTTGCCCGTATGAGGGCTCGGCGGGCTGGTGCCGGCAGGTTGGGCTGGCTGCCCGGCCCGCTGCTGTTGCTTCTGAGCTGTTGGGCGCTCAGGGCGGTGCGGATCCGCGCGGTGCTGCACCTGCTGCTGAGCGAGGCTGGCGCTGTACTTCCTGATCTACAGCGAGGCCGCCAACCTGCCGCCACTACGCCCTGAGCTGACGTGGTTCTGTTCTGGGCCGCTAACAACAGCCCGGCCATGGAGCGGCTGGTGCGGGAGGGGCTGCAGCCGTGTAGCAGCAGATGAACAATGCGCGGGGAGCGGCGTCTGGCCATGCGAAACACTTTTGCAGGTGGGCTGCGGAAGAAGGAACCTGGGGGAAGGGCTCCATTTAAACTTCGCTTTCTTGGCAGTATGAACGCCTGCCAGCATTAACCGAGCCTCGACCCCTGTACTCCAACTGTCTGTTCTCCTCCCCCGTTTCGCAGTCTCATCTTTGCGCCGTACAGCAGCATCTGGGCCACGACCCCACCGCCTGCCGCCCCGAGCACAACACCGAGGTCGCCGCCAGCCTTGCCGCCCAGCTGCCCTCGCTCATCCTCTCCCTCGGCCTCCCCACCACCTCCTACTCCCGCAACCTCCGCCTCCCCTGCCCCCGACTCTTCGCTCGCCCTGCCCCGTCAGTCGCGCCCGTTCTGCGACCTGTTGCTGCCACGGCGACGGCTGCTGCTGGACGGACCTTGTGGTGGCGGCCGCTGTTCACTGTGCTGGCGTTCGAGGTGGACCACATGGCCTCGGAGGGGCAAGATGGTGGCGCACCGCTGGGCTACGACGACATCAATGAGTCCATGTGCCGACGTGACATCGTACGGCGCCCTGCTGGAGATGCTGGGCGTCGCGGCGGCAGCGGACGCTAGGCCAGGCGCATGGGGCCTGGACGCCATTACTCGCCTGGGCTATGCGCCTGCAGTGGCCACTGACGGCAGATGGAGCACTGCCGGACGCGGCGTCCCTGCCACCTCCAGCGCCTCCGCCAACCCGCGGCTGTCTGACCCCGTGTACGGCCGCCGCATTCTGGGCGGATCACGTGTTCGTGAAGACGCACCGCGAGCGGCCGCAGCTGGCTGGCGCTCCTCCGCGCCTTTACCGCGTTGTACAGTCTTGCAGCTGGTGCTGCTGCACGCAACCATGGCATACGCCTTTCGCTCCAGGCTCGCTGCGCGCGCTGTTCCAAGCGCCGTACTGACGCACGCGGTGGTGGCGGCGGTGAGCGCACCGCCAACTGGGGGCTCAACCGGGAACACGCGACACGCTGCAGGCGGCCAAGGCCCGGGACAGCTGGGTTAGGGAGCCGGCTGCCCGCAAGCAAGGCGGGTGATGAGGGGGATGCGGAGGCCGGCAAGCCCGAGGCCGCCGCCGTCGCGCCTGCGGCCCCACGGCGCAGCCGCCTGTCTGACGTCGGCGCAGTGGAAGAGCGCATGGAGCGTCGTCGGCGTGTGTGCGGTGGAGGGCTCTCCCGTGCACAGCGTGTTCGGCTGGCTGGAGTGGGTGGTGGTGGCCGTGGCCATGCTGGCGCTGTTTGCGCTGCAGCATGTGGGTCCAGCGTCGCTGCAGCCCCTGGCCCACAAGTTCTGGCCTCTAGCAGCCGGAGGCTATGTGGCGATGGTGGCAGTGGCACGGGCTGCTCACCACGCGTGACGGCTACTGCGTATCGCTCAGCAGTGCGCTGCGGCTGCCGGCGTTCTGCCGCGCTCCTCTCGCAGCGCCCCACGGCTGGCTGCTGGCTGGAGCAGCCCATGGCGGTGGGGTGGCGCGCCGCTCTGCTGACGACGCTGTTCTGGATGCAGGTGCTGGGGGCCAAGCTTGCCTTCGACTACTTCGTTATCATGAAGCCCATGGCTGGGCAGGTGCGCCTGATCCTGCATCGCAACTGGCTGGGCTGCTCGGGCCACTACGGCTGTTCGGGTGCGGAGCTGCCGCTCCGTTGCCTGGACGGCGATTTCCTTTTGGTTGATGCTGCGTGTGGCGCCCTTCGTGCTGGTCAGCCTGGTGGACACGCAGATCTTCTATCAGATGGTGCGCTTATGGTGTGGGGCGTCGTCCACGGACTCGTGTCCCTCAACTTGGGCGTGGCGGGCTCGTGGGAGGCGCTGCGGGCGGAGTTCCACCGTGCACCGCTCAGGTGGTGGGCGCGCTGCATGAGCCCCGCAGCCAACGAAGCAGCTAGGGCAGCAGCTGCGGCACACCGCGTAAAACGTGATGCAGGTGTGGGCATCACCTGCGGCGCCGGTGGGGCCTGCTCCGACGACGAGGAGGATGAGGAGTACGGCAGTGTCTATGCCGGGCTCAATGCGGGCATGCGCTCCTCTACCTGCAGCCTTTCCAGCCTAGCAAGCAGCTCCGCTGGTAGCGCCAGCGACTCGCCAAGCCGCGAGCACGGCGGGTGGCGGCGTTGGGCCCATATGCTCCCTCTGCGGCAGCGAACTCCAGCGGCGATGGCGATTCTTCCTCCGCTCCCCTCCGCTTCCACGGGCAGCAGCAAGAGCAAGGGCAAGCTGCGGGGTTATCGTGCCCGTGACGCCGCGGCAGCCGCTGAGCTGGTCGCCATGCTATCGGGTCAGGGCGATGAGCAGCTGGCACAGTGGATGGCATTCGCTGCGGCCTGGGACGCGGTGGTAGAGGACCTGCGAGCCTGCGACCCTCATTAGCGACCCGGAGTAAGTCCAACTTGCTCTTCACGCGCTTGCCTGCCGCAGCCACCGCAATGGTCGCAGGCCACCTCCAAGCCCGATGCGCCATCCGTCAGCGGCGGAAGCTCCTCCGGCGGCTCCTTCACCACCGGCGCCGCCTCGACCTCCTCCGCCTCCGCCCGACCGCTGCGGCCACTGCTGCTGCCTGCCTCTTCTTCTACGCAGGCAAGGTGCAGGCCCGTGGTGGACTCGGGCTCCGCCAGCCCCTCGCAGGAGCTGGTGCTGGGTGAGCTGCGTGCGCTGCTGGTGTGGCTGGGATGCCAGCTTGGGCTGCTGGACGGGACGCAGGCGGCGACCATGCTGGCGGCAGTTTGCTGTCCGTCCACGATCGACGTGGCGCATGCTCGCAGCCGTGAGAAGGGGCTGACGGCGCTGCGGCGGCTGTTGCGTCAATGCAGGCGCTTAACGGGCCGGCTGGCGGCGTCATGTCAGATGCGGACTATCTCAGTGGCGCCAGTCGCGTCTTGCAGATGCGAAGGCGGCCCTGGATGAGGTCTGGCGGCGGCGGAGGTTGAGGCACGCGCGTGGTGCGGGCGCAGCTGGGTGTTTCCAAGAAGGGCGGCAAGAAGCGGACAAGACGGTGCAGAGCGAGCAGCAGCAGCAGCAGGGGCCGGACGCTGGCCATGAGGATGTTGCGGTTGCAGACCCGCAGGCGGCTGCTTCGGCGCTGCTGGAGGTATTGCGTCGCTGCGCACCAGCCTGTCCAAGCAGCCCGAGCGGCTGATGGCGGCGTTGATGCTGCTGCACCCCGAGGTTGCCAATGCCGCTGCATCCACTGGGAGCTGTCGCTGGTGCGCCGCGTGCTGTCTACTGCCGTTAAAATGGTGAACTAAGCAGCGCGGCGGCACAGCCGACCGGCGCCGAAGCCCGCCGCATCCTGGGCTTCTTCGTCCCTCCCTCGCCAACCGCCAGTTGGGCAAGCCGGCGCCCGTGGCAGCCATGAACCTCTTGGACGGTGCTTACGCCCATGTACGCGGAGAGGACGTGCTGTTCCCGCTGGAGGCGCGCACGGCGGCTGAGGCGGGTTGGGGCTGGAGTCGCGGACAAGGGCGACATGTCCTCCGCGCTGCCCGACCTGCTCACGGAGACAGAGGAGCGTGTGTCGTTGATGTCGTACATCCGCTCCATGTTCCCCAAGGACTGGGACAACTTCAAGGAGCGTCTGGGCGCAGCCTGGGTGGCCTGCGGACCTACGCAACGTCACGGAGGCGGACTTCGCGGAGGGCGGCGCGCTGGCGGAGCATGCGTTGGCGCTGCAGCTGTGGGCCTCCTACCCGTGGCCAGCTGCTGGCGCGCACCGTGCGCGGCATGGCGGCGTATGAGCGCGCCCTGCGGGTGCTTGCGGCGCTGGACAGCCCGCGCCCTGCGGGGGTGAGCCGGCGGGAGCACGCGGCGGCGGTGGAGGACGTGGTGGGCGCCAAGTTCACGCACGTGGTGGCCAGCCAGCTGTACGGCAAGAACCGCCGCTCCACCAACCTGCGCGACCGCTGGCAGGTGGAGAGCACGGACGTCCTGCTGGAGGCGTTCCCGCACTTGCGTGTGTCATACTTGGACGAGGTTTCGGCGGCGGGAGGTGAGGCGCGCAGGGGCGGTGTCATGGCCCCGAATGCGCCTCCGGAGCACCCAGTATGCGGTGCTCATTCGCGGCCGGCAAAGCGGGCATGAGGCGCACTGAGGAGCTTGTACCGGGTCCGTCTGCCTTACAACCGCTACAGCAAGCGCGGCGTGATCCTGGGCGAGGGCAAGCCCGAGAACCAGAACCACGCGGCCATCTTCTGCTTCGGTGAGGCGCTGCAGACCATCGATATGAACCAGGACAAACGCGCTGGCGGAGGCGCTCAAGATGCGCAACCTGCTGAAGGAGCTGTCGCCCGAGCTGGACACGCGGGCGGCCAGGAGGGCTGCGGATGCGCTGCAACAGGCGGTCAAGGGGACCTCGCTGCCCCCTGCTTCTGAGATGAAGCGGCTGCTGGGTGGTCTGCGCAGTACGGAGCGGCCGTTGCGGTGGTGGGCTTCCGCGAGTGGGTGTTCAGCGACAAGGCGGGTGCGCTGGGCAGCTTCGCCGCCAGCAGTGAGTTCGCGTTCTCCACCATGGTGCAGCGGACCATGGCCTACCCCGCCAACGTGCGCCTGCACTACGGACACCCGGACGCCTTCAACAAGCTCTTCGTCATGACCAGGGTGAGCCAGACGGGTGGGCAGGGCTGCTGCAGACGGTGCAGTGAGCAGGGTACAGAAGCGGGATGGGATGCGCCCCCCTGGTTAGCAGGAGTCATGTATGTTGTCGCCATGATATGGCCCAAAGAAGGACCCGCCAAGCCAGTCCTCCCTGTTCTCCTGCTGAGCGCCCTGCAACTCCCTTCCCCACTCCCTACAGGGCGGTGTGGCCAAGGCCACTCGGCAGCTGCACGTGTCCGAGGACATCTTCGGCGGCATGAACCACAGTCTGCGCGGCGGCCGCATTAAGTTCCGAGAGTACATCAGCTGCGGCAAGGGCCGCGACATGGGCTTCGACTCCATCAATGCCTTCGAGTCCAAGATCAGCGCGGGCTTTGGCGAGGTGGCACTCAGCCGCGACCTGCTGCGCATGGCCGTGCGAGTGGACCTCTGGCGCTGCCTGCACCTCTACCACTCTCTAGCCGGCAACTACTTCAATACCTGGCTCGTCATGGGCTCAGTGTACGCGCACGTGTTTGCGCTGCTCTTCTTCGCACTCGCACGCGCCGCTGTGTACCACACCGTCGTCTACTGGCCCTCGCCGCCGCCGTCACCTGCCGGCACGCCCGTGGTGGCCAGCGCGGCATCGCCCCCCGTGGTTCGTGAGACGCTGGCGTACGACACCATCCGTGTAGAGCACGTGCTGCAGCTGGGC